ATGTGTAAACAATTAGACCATCTCAGTTGAGGCCGGCTTAATTTGGAACCAGTTGCTGCGACCATAGGCGGCTTGCAGACCCCACCAGCCACAGCAGCATCGCGATCCGTTTGGAGTAACTTCGGAAGCCACTTCGCCTTCACCTGGATAACTGGATTGCTCCTAGAACGTGACGAGATGATGATGTTGATTCGGTCTCGGGCTCCAGCCTTAGGCCAAGGATGGACAAGGCGAGTTAGTCCTGCAAGGTAAGCAGAAATTATTGACTCGTCCTAGTGCTCGTATCCGCACATCTTCTCGTACCCATGCCATGGCATGATCGGAAAACTTCGAATTATGCGTCGGCGCTTTCCAGTTTTCGGGCAGATTAAACGCGCATCATCGTCTAAGATTGGGATGCTCCTCACCAGACCAGCACAAGTGAATGAGTTTTGGGCTACGACTAGTTCGCAGCGGGGACTGCCAATCGATTGGCATTTGACATTCACGGCTGCATGCACCTCTGCACCTCTTCATGCATCATGTGCGGGGACACTCACAGCTGCATGCGTACAAGCTTTGCAGCAGTCCAGCCTCGTAGAGACAGCCCTATCTCGGGCATGTAGACAACTCAGTCTACTGGGTCACTGACCATCTTGCAGCTGTCATTGCTTGTCCACGTCTAGTGCGATTCTGTTGAACAAAAGGCGTGAGAAATTGCGACACGCAGACTACAATTCTTACACGTCGCTGAAGGCCAGTCAGTTGGCCCGGCTACCATTAGATTTGTCTTTCGACCCCGCGTTGCGGACTACTGCACCCAAAGAGTGGTTCATGTAAGCTGATTTTCTTCTTTCCATGCAGCTACTAGTAGAACATGTAGTAGGCAAACGGCATCACAAAGCATACAGAGTGTTACCAGGGAGATTGAACGCAAATCAGGCCCTACTCACCGTGGTAGGTCCGTCTCGAGGCTTCATGACTACCGCGCGCATAACATGGATCGCCTGCGGTGTCTATACTCAAAATATCTCATGTAACTTCGGTCGGGAAGCTCGACCGTTGCCAACCATGCTTACCTGGACACAGCCTCAGATTCCGCACAGAGATACCCTTGTCACTAATCGGGCAAAGGAGGGGCTCGTTTGACAGAAGTGGAGTTGCTGCATCTCTACCAGTCTCGGCCTGTGCGATCTCCAGATTGTGGGGGCATCACTACTGAGGCAGAGAAACGTCTTTACCGCAGCTCATGTTTCGTCGCAGTGCTGATTTGGCGATGGGAACCCCCAGACATCCTTGAATGTTTCGAATATGAGGCGCAATCCTTCCCGTACAGTAGTAACACAATTCAGATTGCTTCCCGAGATCATTACCGACATCGCATCTCAGGCCAATACGAGGTATCATAGCGCGAGCGCGCAGCCAGCGCAGACGAAGAAAGCCCAGCCGATCAACAGTTCTCTAGTCGCGACAATGCAGGTCGAGTTGTGTGAGGTACAAACAAGCTGTTTTGAGGCGCGACAGTGGTGAGCTGAAGCTCCGCTTACATAGGGATTTGGTTCCTGGAGGCATATGCAGGGTTCACCGAAAGGCCTTCTTCCGGACCTGTTTGATCTGCACCCCAGCACCCGCTCAGCGTTCGACATGCCGCAAGGAAGAATCAGTCCTGCTTAGAACGGTCAATCAAGTCTGGATATGTCTGCGACATGACGTCTTTCGTTCTGCCCTGCTCTCGCACGAGAAGATTGATCGGGCAACGTGGGCACCGGCTAGTTCTTTGGTTACTGCCCGATTGGTTGGTCGAGGAAGTCATGATTGTTAGACCCGATCCAGCAGTTCCTCTTTGCTCACTGCGTCCATCTTACACCAGCCTACTGAAACACTCCACTCTGTTCTCGTACCGCCTTGTTTGACTCTTAGTGCCCTATTACCATGCCTATTCGCAATCCCTTTCGCCGTGCGGGTGTGCCTGAGGCCGCCGATGAGGCCCAGCGGAGCGCGCCGGAGAACGGTTTCAAGAGCACAGCTGTCTCGGGCGCAACGCCCCTGCAGGTCAAGGACCCTGTAGAATACAAATTGAGTGGTGAGATTTCCCAAAATGCGCCTGAGCACAAGCATGTTCCTGTCTAAACATGCTCCCGCGGCTGCATCAGCGCATCGGATGAATGGGCGCTTACAATGTGATAGAAATAAACGATAGCGGCGTCTATCTACCGGTAAGAAATGTCAAGCCAGTGTGACGGTGCATGTAGAGCGACACGCGCAAATGGCACGCTGTGAGACCTTGGTTGACGTTGCGACAGCCATCCCCACAGCACGAGAAGCCTACCTTCTGGCACTCCAAATCCAACGTCTCCACCACTTCCTCAAATCACCGAAGTCTGCTCAGCGAAACCGAGCCGTTTAGCATTTCGCGCGAGAGCTTCGACTCGTACAGGAGGTCATTTGTACGTATTGCGATCAGTGGCAAGCAAGACCCCGCTAACGAGACACAGGATATCTCTGCGCGCTCCCCAATCACAGACAATGTCCACGAAACCTACCCTCGTCAGTCGCTCGATGCGCGCCGCTCCGTAGACACTAGACGCTCTCTCGATGTCCGCCGTTCGCGCGCCACACCCCGCTCGTCAATGCAACAACCCCGCCATAGTGAAAGCCACGAGCAAGTGCCTGAGGAGGGTTTTGAAGACGTGGGCCTGAACGACGAGCCGAAGCCCCAGCCGAAGAAGCGCAGCATCTTCTCGCGCTTCGGCGACAACAACCATGCCAACGAGAAGACTGAAGAGCGACCCGGCTCGAGCCATCACTTCTCTTTGACAGGCCGGAAGAGGGCTGAGAGCGGGGCGGGCTCAGAGCTCAAGCCTATGCCAAAGCCGTCAACGGAGGCGCCCGTGGAGGCGCGGTGATACATGTAAAGGACAATTAATGAATTGTGGGGATCCAGCACCGAAGAGTCATTGCTTGAGCTCCGGGACAACGTTGGATACCGCACCGGGCACAGGGGCGTTTAGGACTTGGTGTCTTTTCTGTACTGCATAACCTCATGTAGGATCGCATGGAGATTGGGATGTTCGGTGTCACGAAGAAAACGAGATTTGACGAATCCGTCACACGACGCGTTCTGTAGATCCCAACGCAACACTCATCATAATCACGAATCCTAATCATCATACTCCCTCTCTCAACTCGTATCTTCAAACCTCGTATTATCACTGGTGATTATTCCCTGCTAGATCACTGGGCCACGCGTTGAACTGGCTGGCCGGCACCGGAACTCCCGGACATCCGCGGTTCGGTCGTTCCGATGATGTCATCTAGCAGTCCGCTTTTGACTCGTACCTTGGCATGTGCGCGAACGGCTTGGATGCTGCGTCTTTGTTTGTTGAGTCCCGCGAGTGCGAAAGTCATTGAATCGGGATCGAGATTTGATTTCTGTTGAACCTTGCTGCGTTTTTGGCGGGCATGGCGGTAGTGTCTAGGGAGGGGTGCCTGCAAGTCATGTGATACAATGGTTTGGATCAGACGGCTGTAGAACAGATATGCCACCCGCGTTCGCGGCCGCGAAGGAACTCGTTTTCACCAAGTTCTCTATCCTACAAAAGCCCCCTCTAAGGGGGCAGACAATGTTACTTTTCGATCAAAGCAAAATTAGAGAAATCTGGGAATTTCTTCAAAATACGTTCAAGTGGGGGTAGGAATTAGAGAGAAAAAGAATGTTCGTCAGTAGCATGACATGCTATAAAGACGAGGCTAGAAGAAAGCTGTTGCGACCATGTTCAGAGGCTGGCTTAGGGTTCAACTATATATATGTCGCGGGTTTTATTGGAATGAAGGACGAATGCACTTCGCTTGCACAGGACCACCTGCATAGACAGTTACTCCCTAACTCTACATGACTGGGATTATGATGAGACAACGTTTGCAATGTTTAGCTCAACACGGAATGCGAGAGGCATGTTTTTCAATGAGAACTTGAGCGCGAATATTACCTAAAAAGATAGGAGGTACACAGCTAGTGGTTGTAGGAAATCTGGGCAGAAATGGTTAGCGCATATCCAATGACGCCCTTCCACCCACGGGTACTATCTAGGTACTTCCGACTTCACAGCGCCAGTTCGCTCTTCGCGTCAAACATCCATCTTTGCGGTGTCGAACTACAGCCCATTACCAAGATCATACGATATGCTGTTACGCGTAGATGGTGACTGCCTTGCCTCGAGCGCCCCGGTGGCTTCGCGATCTGTAGCGTCGCAGCCTTGCGAACGCATGTGTCTCTCAGGTATTGTTGATCCACAAGAGAAGGATGGTCGACTGTGCCACAGATAAGGAATGACGGAGGCCTGCGAGAAACCAAATCCCGAGCTGAATCAATCTGGAGCTGTTGCCTTGCACACCCTAGCCTTATGCTACGCGCGCGCCACATGGCTAATCAGTTCGACATGAAGCTACCGGAACGACGTGGAGTCTTGGATCGCATGAATTTGAGTACACATTCGTCTGTGGCTTGGGCATCGTAATATGCTCAGCCTTGTTGAGTTGCAGCCTGTGAGCCACAGTGTTGCGGCGAGGTGATGAGGCAGTGGACAATCGCCGCATAGTGCTCCAAGTGAAGGTGAAGATGAATAAGTCTGTTTGCCTTTCTTATATGACCATGGGGTACAGAACCAAATTCCTACTCTTTCACACACACATAGTCTCACTACCTGCAAAGTTTTCATCCGCTGGCTTTATCTTATTCTCTCCTTGTACTCGCCTTGGCAATACATCTTTTGCGCATCACGTTGGTTGCGCTCGTTGCGCCACTATCTTTGCTATCAAGACGACTACCTTGATAATCATCGGTATCCTCGATAGAGGCTCAAAATAGCTGGTATCGTACGGTACGTGATCTCCACCTTCTGATATATCCTCCACACAAGTACGATGAGCACTGAATGTGCCATAGTCTTGGTTTGTGTACAGCAAGACCGCGTAAACTAACTGTTCTGCCACAGAATTTGCTCAAGAAGGACCTCTACACCATGATATCGGCGATGGCTACATCCTACGCCATTCATCATGTTGTACTTCCACCGAAGCTACCGCAACAAGACGACCGTAACACCGAGCACGAACTGGCTCTGCTCAAAATTGTCATTCAGGCACTCGAATCTTTGAGGCACCACGTCAAACACGAACACGTCGGGTCTATCACGGCTGCTATTGCAACAGTCGAGAACCTCCGAACCTGTCGCGACCATCACGGCAATAACAGCGAACTCCAAGTACGAGAAGTTCTCACCAAGGTTGCAAACGATACTACTGGCGCCGTACCGCTCGAGATCAAAGAACAGAATGCCGGAATTCTGGTCAGCCATTCTTCGAACAGCTTGAACTTTGAGTTCTTTGAGCTATCGCCGACGAATACGGCGGCCATGTCTCAAGGGCGACTTGTGCGAGATTTTCCAGGCTACGCTTCGAAGATACCGACTGCAAACATCAACCCTGATCTTGTCGAATCGATCTCCAGGACTATAGCTACTATGTCGACTCAGACGGCTCCAGGCTTTCAACCTCAGGTTAGAAAGAACAACAAGACGATGAGCGAAGAGCGCGACACAACCCATCCAGGTATGGTTACAGACTTCTTCATGAATATCATCACTGCTCTCGGCGAGTCGACGGACGTACAGCGCATCACAAAGCATACCCGCGAGGAGGTTCTCTGGAGCAACTGCCTATCACCATGGCGACGGTCTCCATTGTGGCTCCTGCTACGTGTATCACTCCAGCTGCTCTTCGCTCGCTCGGCGCCTGATGCCCTACACGTGGATGGCCTCTATAAAGCCTTCATGGTTTTCATGGTAGCACAACTACTCGACCTGGCTAAGCAAAACGTGAAAGATATGGGCAGTGAGACTATTCAGCTCGTCCTGGCTAAGTTGACGCGGCGATTGCGCAAGTTCGAGCTTCTCAAGCAGACAGAATACCTGCAGCCGGGCTGGATGTTGCACATCCAGGACAGGATGAACGGCGGCCACACACTCATCGAAGAGAACTGGAAGGCTCAGATCGGCAACCCTCAAGGCAACATAAACTTCAGCGCTATCGCAAAGCTCAAGCCTAAAGCCGATGTTGACATAGAACTGTCAGGCTTGGACGTCTTCCTGTCAAGCATCAAAGCCCGGCAGCGAGAAGTCTCACTATCTACGTTTACGCCTACCTCAAAGTATCCGTCTTACGAAGCCACTCAGCTACCGAATAACGTCAAATCCGCCTATTCGAATGAAGACAAATACTTTCGCTTGACTGCTGTCGAGACGTGGGTTGAGTACCGTCTTACCGATTGGACCAGGTCTCATCTTCACGATGAAGATGCTTGTGGAAGACTGCGTACAATCATGACCGAGTACTATGGGATCGCTAGCGAGGCCTACTCTGGAGCGCCTATCGGTATGTCCATCATGTATCTGACACTTACTGAGCTTTGGATCGCATGCGATAAGATTGCCTGCACGATCTATCCTCTGTTGTTAGCGTACGATCCTGAGGTTGATCTGAAGGAGTTTCAGTGCCTCACACTACCTCTGAAAACCCATCTGAACCGTCTGAACGTCGCAGAGTGCTACGTAAAGTCGCGGCGTGCCGAAGCTTTGAAGAGGCCATCTGTCTACCGAGATTTTGGACACTCGTCGTCGTTCGCTGTGAGGTACTTTGATCAACAAGAGTACCTCCAGGCGATCTTGTCTAAGATCGAGGCCGACGCGGCCGCCAAGCGCCAGGAGAAGTGTGAGGAGCTCGCGAGGCTCAAACGTGAGTATCAACAGTACATGGGCCGCTACAACAGCCTTCAATGTGAATACAGAACGGAGGTCTACAATTGGAGGCTTGGCTACACACATCAAGTACACTCATGGAGCTGCGGCAGATGTGCAGCAAAAAGCCACGCAGATGGACTTACTATTGGAATCTTCGAATGGCCGGTCTCACCCCGTATACATGAAGCAAAAGCTACAGTGTTTGAGTTAGTGGTGCCGGATTCTTACAGCAACTGGCGCGACGCCTCAGCGTTCTTCATCACTACGGTTCTCGGATACAAAGATGCAAAAGAATCGAGGCCATCAAAATCCTACACGCTCGACAACCACCACGGTTTGTCCCATCTGCTATCTGCTCGGTATTCTAAGCGACGAATCGTTCCGCTTTCGGACATCAAGAGCCACACCGTTACCCACAGGAAGCAGAAGAAAGCTATTCCTCACTTGACTGACGACGACGTGTGCTTGCAAAACGCATTGAGATACGCCTACTACGACACCTCGACTCGTACCTTCAGCACAAGCATACCAGGTTGCACTTTGGAAGTCCCAACGAAGTGTAAATACCCGATGCCGAAGCGATCTAAGGCTCTTGAACGATTCATGTGTCGACCCCCTTCTTCGCCCGATGGTCTGCCGGTCAATGAAGTTATTGCCAGCTTGTTCGACTGCCCCGCTCATTTCTCGATCGACGAATACAAGGCCCTGGGTGCGCTACCTCTTGGGCACAACATCATCTATTCAAACATCCTTGCTCAGCTCGCAATTCCTTCGGTTGACTGGACGAAAGTCGAGACACAATGCATCGTTCTCCAGAGTATACAGCAGACTGGCCTGTCAGACCAAAGTATCGAACGTTCCAGTCACTCTATCCTTGGGAAATCGTCCTTTGGCCATGCTATGCTTGAGCAGCTTGAGACCAACCTGGATCGTATCCGAGAGAATTGGGAGTCGTGGCGGGCTGCCGCAACATTTTCTCTACTCGCCCGACGAGTATTGAGCCTGACATCATCCTTAGACGTTCGTTCTCGCGCATTCAACTACCTCGAAAGTTTGCGAAACGTCTGTTTGAGATGGCTACGACGGCTAAAGCAGCGAGTCTCTACTTCAACGGACGACGGTCAGCGTACAGAGCTTTATAGTCGTGCTACAGAAGTGGCGTTGTTGTGCACCTCGACCTACGGCGTAGAGGAAGCTGACTTCAAAGCTATTCTCCAGCAAGGCTCGGCAGTCTCGATACTGGTCCAATCATCAATAGTAGTGCAGGAGCACTGTGAGTCCATGCAATCGGACTTTCCCGAACTCTTCAGCATCACACTGCAGTCATGGAAATCTTTAATGTTCCGCATCCTTCCAACCCTGCGAAAACGCATTCTCGCGAACGACAGCGGTCTTTCTGATGCCATAAAAGCCAATTGGGCCGCTTTCGAATCTACTTCCAGTAATTCCTGGACTCCGCTCAACACAAGCAGCCAACGACACTGGATGCTCACAACTTCGGGGTCCTTACCGGTGCATTTTAATATGCTTACTGGGGAGCTGCTTGTCAATGGTCTTCCACTCGCCCGTCTTCCTGCTGAGTATATGCGTCACAAGATGTACGCACCACTGTTTCACAAGTCAGCCTTAGAAGTGGTACCAACGAACGAGATCGGATTTAAATTCTCTGCCAAGACTACCTATCACGGATACAAGCTGCATTTTGGTATGAACAGCGACGACATGCTTCTGTCTGCCATCGGAGATAGACTGAGACTTGAGATGGTTCCATCACGCCTTTTCCAGGATCTACTACCTCAGTCTTTAGTGACAGATGCCGTACACTGGTATGATTCACAAGCTGAAGAGGTCATCTTCCGACCTTTACATTCTCCATGGTCGACCGAAGACGACCATTCACGATGGCGTCTTGTACGACGTGGAACATTGTGGCGTTTAGTCAACAACGAGAAGATGATGATCAACATTCATAGCCCTACGGCTCGTGTCGTATCCAGTACTTTGGCACCACTCGAGAAGCCGCTGCACATTCATATAAGCATCGTTGATTCGGGCAAGGCACCGCAATCCTACATTCAGATCGAGCTCGTTCGTCTTCAGATATCCTTCGAGTTTCACGAAACCGATGATTGTGTACGCTCTCGCCAGTTTCGCGACATGTTCATTGACTCAGATCAAACAATGGGTGCCCTTGTGGGCATGCGGAGTAAGCTGATTCTAAGGTCCGTGGATGGCCGGCGAATGATTCTCATTCCGGAAGGATTGTTCGAGTTCACAAGAACTTCCACGCATCATCCTGAAGTCAGCGTCTCAGCAGCTTCCGCAGCTCGAATTCGTGCCTACAACATCGACGAGACTCTTGGCCAGATAACAGGTGACGGAAGTCTTCGCAGTCGCCTGATTCTTTGCTATCTACACGCGCTGACTTCTCACTGCCTACCCGATACTCTCACTGGATGTACGGGTACAGAGTCTGCAATATCTATTCTCAAGTCAGCAGCAGTGAAATCGTTCGACCTTCTTACACCAGAAGACGTAGATCTCCTGGTCCGTGTTGCAGATCTTTCGGCTGCGAGATCTTACTATCCCCAGCATTTGAAGGTAATGCAGAGTATCAAGTGGAACACGAACCTGCCGTCACTGTCTCAAAATGCCTCTTTGCGGTTCCTCGTATCAAGCCTACTGCATCGAGCTGCTAAGATGCGGTTGTTCCACCCTGACAAGCCCGAGATCTTCGAGAAGATCAGCCAGGCTCAGCAGACCTTAATGGCGTCTTCAGATACCCGGTTGGATAAGCGATCCTCGATTCGAACTGCCACATATCAGGTTGCCAGCTTTGGCGCCGAGCAATTCACCTCTTCAGACGACTTAGCCTACGATGCGCGTGATAACCAAAGAACTTCCAATAGAGCCAATCGGGCTCATGTAGCCGCCAAGATGATCTTACAGAATCGATTCGCTCTTCACAGTTCTATCCAAGACCTCAAAGGCGGACTTCTCCGAGAGCATTTTGCTGATGCTACTGTCTCCGGAGTAAATAGCTCTTTCAACCCTGGAAGCCTCCAGTACGATTCAAAGTGGCTGGGGGCCGCGTCAGAGAGTATCAAAAAGCATTGGTGTACCCTACAGCGAGGTTTGGCCAGCACAGCTACTAGCAGCAATCGTTACGACATAATAACATGGCTCTGTACGATGGCTTATGCTGAAACATCGGATATGGACACGATACAGGCTCTGGCTGCAGCCTACAGGTTACCTGAGCTCTCGGCGGTACAGCCACCTGCTGCGCCGAGCTACGACCTGAACCAGGGACACGACTTCAACAAGAACGCGATTTGGATCACGGTGTCGAACAACACTAAGGACTTCACAGACTCTGATGAGGCGAGTCTACCAAAACGGGAATCAGAGACTGAACGCGATCATCACAAAAGGATGAACGCTGAATTTCAGAAGAACAAAACAAAGGCGATTGAAGAATTCGTCAAGAATCTGAAGAATCAGTGGCCAAGGCAGACTCCCAACGTGCCATCTGCGGTCAAGTATGCTACCTACCTCAACGTTTCATCTGCAATGACGACTATTCGGAATCAGTTTGATCGTTGGTTCAACAACCGTCTGTTTATGCAGTACCTCGACCAGTTATCAGCGGTTATGGCACGACAGACAGTAGCATGTGTGCCGGCGGCACGCTATGTTCTCACCTTGCCGCCAAAAAAGGAAAACCTCAAGGACACTGATCGTCATTTTGGTGTGCTGGATGTATTCGCTATGACTCCGCCTCCATTATCTGGGTCCACATTACTGATACCTCCTCGCGAACCCAAAGTAACCATCCCGAGGAAACAGAAACCTGAAAAGCACTCACAAGCGAAGGAGCGGCTTGAGGAACTTTGCCACAAGAACATGCTACTAGCCAAGTCGAAATGCGAGAGAGATTACGTCGACAGTCTACGATCAAGCTGTGTTGCCCTTGACAAGCACGTTAGCAGTAACAACACGCACGATGAGTTGCTTCCCGATGCTCAATCGTTGCTGCAACAGTATCTGCGCAGCTGCCAGGACTACCTCAAAACCTTCAGTTCCGCTTTGAACGGCCTTTTCAACAAGGAAGTCGCTCATCTGATGCAATCTTCACCACGTATCTGCGCAAGATTTTGGCTCAGTCAGTTACACAGGGACCGATTCGACACGCTGTCAGAGTCGTGGAAAGAGACCGTCATTCAGTATGCACTCGCCGTTACCAACTTGCAACGAGCTCAGAGGCTATTCCGCTTGTCCGGCAAGTCGATTGATCTGATTGAGGAACTTCGCCATGAGGGGCATTCGAACTGGGATGTACACCAATATCCGGAGACCCTTCTCATTGAGGCTGAGAGTGGCATACTCGTCCGGAAAGAGCAAGAGTATATTGCCAGTCAGATGCGATCACCTAAGAATGGGCAGAACACTGTCCTTCAGTTGCTAATGGGTGGGGGCAAATCTACAACCATATTGCCCATCCTCAGTGCTTTTCTTGGTGACAAGAAGAAGCTTGTCCGGGTAGTCGTCGCAAAACCTCAGAGTAATCAGATGCTACAAATGCTCATCGCCAAGCTTGGGGGTCTCTTGAACCGAAAGATCTACCAGATGCCTTTCTCACGCAACCTCCGATTAAGCGTCCAGGATGCCCGCACTATCCGCGAGATTTACGAAGAGTGCATCCGCGAGCGCGGTGTACTGTTGATTCAACCAGAGCACATCCTATCCTTCAAACTGATGGCAGTCGAATGTGTCCTAATCAACCAGTCGGAAACCGCTCGGTCACTGCTAGCAACCCAGAAATGGTTTGACGATGTGTCCTGTGATTGCATCGATGAGAGTGACGAGAACTTCTCCGTCAAATTCGAGCTCATCTACACAATGGGCTCCCAACAGTCGATAGAGCTCGCTCCTGAGCGATGGTTGATCATCCAGAATCTTCTAGCGCTGATTCCGACTGTGGCCAAACAGGTGAAGACGGACCTCCCGGAAACTGTGGACGTACAAGGAGAAGGAGATGGGCGGTATCCGAGGGTCAGATTCCTACGGTCCGACGCTGCTGATCAAATCCTGCATCTGCTTGCGTCTCGAGTGGTCGATTCAGGCATAGGAAGTCCTTCTCGCTCTCAATCTCCCGCTATGCAAGCAGCACTATTGCGCTACATCACAGTGCTGGAACTGAAAGCACACGAGGTTGAGGCAGTGGAACAAAGCAAATTCTGGACTGAGACGACCAAACCAGCACTCCTTCTCCTACGTGGTCTTTTCGCCGGCGGGGTGCTACGCTTCATCTACAGTCAGAAGCGCTATCGTGTGAACTTTGGTTTGGACAATTGCCGCACCCCGAGCACTCGCCTTGCTGTCCCATACCGCAGTAAGGATGCTCCTTCGCCTAGAAGCGAGTTCTCTCATCCGGATGTCGTCATTATTCTGACCCTTCTCGCGTTCTATTATACTGGTTTGAGCGATGATGCTCTCTTTGACACTCTCATACATGTACTAAAATCTGATCAAGCGGTCATACACTACGACGAGTTTGTCAGTACCGCCTCTTCAGACCTCCCAAAACCTTTCAGGCAGCTCTCCGGACTCAGCATACGCGACCGACACCAGTGCATTACGGAAGTATTTCCAAGCTTACGATATTCGAAGAAGGCCATCGACTATTACCTCTCGTATCTAGTATTTCCGAAAGAACTCAAGCAATTCCCTTCCAAGCTCAGCGCAAGCGGCTGGGATCTAGCAATCTCGAAACCATGCCCCAGCACTGGCTTCTCCGGTACCAATGACACTCTGCACCTACTTCCACTCGGAATTGAACACCTGGATCTGCCTAGCCAGCACCACACGAACGCTCAAGTCTTATCGTACCTGTTGATGGACGAGACCTCAGTGGCCAACTTACCTGTGCGCACTGCTGGTAGTGATGGAGAACATCTCATTGCTTTTATTGAGCAGTTGGATTTGGACATCAGGGTCATATTGGATTGCGGAGCCTCAATTCTGGAACAGAATAATCGGCAAGTAGCGGAGACATGGCTGAAGCTGCGACGCAACGACATCGAGGCTGTGTTGTACTTCGAGGACGAGGAGCTGTCGGTACTCGATCGCACTGGCAAGATTGAATCTTTCCAGACTTCTCCGTATGCAAAAATGCTGGATTCTTGTGTTGTCTACTTGGACGAGAGTCATACAAGGGGAACGGACATAGCCGGATTGCCACGACACTACCGAGCCGCGCTCACGTTGGGCAGTCAACTGACCAAAGATCGCCTCACACAAGCTGCAATGCGCCTAAGAAAGCTGGGAAATGGCCAATCGGTCTGCTTCGTCATTCCTGAGGAGATCCGGACAAAGATATACGAGCGGACTGACAAGCCAACCGGTACTCCGATTGAGGTTCAAGACGTATTGGCATGGGCGATCGGCGAGACCTGGTCTGATCTGAAGAAGAGCCTACCGCTCTGGGCCGTTCAAGGCAACCGTTTCGAGAGTCACAAGCATCTGTTACTGAGCGGCGCTAGCACGACAAGAGATCAAGCGGAAGCCTTCCTCGAGGATGAAGCTGCCAGTCTAGAGACCCGATACAAGCCACGCGCGCACGACGATGGTTCCGCACACCTTGGTAACTGGGACATATCTAACAAGAATATCGTCGACATCGTATCGCGTTGCCGCGATTTTGAGGCTATGGGCTTTTCTTCGGCTGCACTGAGTGAGGAACAGGAGCGTGAGCTTGCTCCAGAGATTGAAGAGCAACGCCAAGTTGAGCGCCCTCCACGCTTGAAAGCGTATGTTCATACTGTTCATGCAGACCTCAAGCACCTTGTCAACACTGGAAAAGTCGCCATTGGTTCGAAAGCGTGGGGACCGGCCTTCCGAAAGCTTAATACAACAAGCGCGGGTAGGCTCATCGACTTGAGCAGTTTCTCGACCGAGTTGCTGGTTACGGCAGACTTCATGCACACTGTTCAGATACCGCCTGGGTCGACTCCAGCGTCCTTCATCTCCGATTCCTACCAACGACCAGTACAATTTGTTCTGACTGTGCCCGATTCTGGTAATACGGGAGTCATCAAGTACGCGATGATCATCAGTCCCCATGAAGCCAACCACTTGTTACCTCTAATTTCCCAGTCGGGGAAGACTACGCTCCACATCTTTGCGCCGCGCTCCAACGCTAGCTACCCGTCGATCGACCAACTCATGCTTTATAACGTTGGCCGTAAGTTCTCATCTGGCTCAGTCTCGCGCAGCTTGACAATACAGCTGAATCTTTTCGCTGGAAGTCTCTATCTTCGCTCCATCGTTGAGTATCAAGAGCTATGCGATCATCTTGGTCTATTGAAAGGAAGGGCAGAAGATGGCCAACAAGTCTATGCTGATGGCTTCATCGACCCGCCAGCTGGTATCTGGGGACTGAAACAGTCTCCTGTACCCTTTTTACGAGCTCTCCTCATGAAGATCCGCCGTGAGGGAGAGGGTGTGGAGAAGACACACATGGGCAAGGTCTTGAGCGGGGTCAGACTAGAGGAGAGCGACTTTGGTGAGCAGGAGAAATAAGTTGGACCATTTGGCAATCCTGCTTGAGGGTTATTCTCTAGGGTGAAGATGTATGTGTCGCGTGAAACGCCTACGAAGTGGTCCATCTTGATGGGTGTATCGTATACTCTAGATAGAAGTATATTTTGAGTTGAATCTTGGTAGCCTGTAAGCGTATAGTATCGTGAGTTCCTCCAGGGTGAATGACAACCTAGACTCATCGTTACAGACATCTATAAATGGTTTTGTACCACGTCGTCAGTGATCCTACTTTATCAATGCGGAGAATCCGCAATCTTTTCACACAACACTCCCCAGCACAACAGATCAACCAGAGTATGCAGAGACAAATGTTCTCGATTTTTGAGTATGTACAAGAAAGAAGTGAATGCACCAGGCCATGCTACCAGCGCTACAAATGCACCACACCACTGCTATCCAGTGATAGCCTCAACATCCATCAGCTCAACCTCCGAGTATATTCGTGTTGTTGGCGAAGCCGCTTAGCAAGAGGCGAGGGGCTCCTTGTAGATGCAAGCGTCGGAAGGACCGGTGGAGACGGACTCGGGCTCGCTGCCAGAGGCAACACCCTTGAACTCCTCGCAGATGGTCTTGACGGAGCTGGCGCAGTTGCTGTCGTCGATGGTGGCAGAATCACCGAAGTTGGGGTTGATGCCAGCAAGGAGCTTGCCGTTGGACGCCTTGACGTTCTTCATGATGACATGGCGCTCAGCGGACTGCTTGCAGTTACCGCAAGACCTGTACAGCTTGCCGAAGTCGTCGACAGTGAAGCCGTCAATAGTGACAGTACCAGCGCCGTTGTGCTGAATGACTTTGTCTTCAGCTCCTGTAGCACCACCACCAGTGACTAAAGGATGTTAGCACGGCTCAGAGAAGATGTGTTCGAGTAGTTCTCACCAGTCGCGTCACCGTCCTTCTTGAGGGAAAGAGCATCCTCGCAGACAGCAACCCACCAAACATTCTCAATGGTGCAGCTGCCCTCGCAGTGGACTCCCTCGATCTGGTCCTCGCCTGAGTGATGTTAGTGAATGGATTATATGTTCAGCAACCGATTGACATACCAATGATGGCGTTCTTGAGTGTAGCACCATCCTTGAGGATGAAGACGGCATCGGAGTCGCCACCCTCAGCCTGACCAGTGCAGGAGACGCCACGACCGTAGGTCTTGAGGCCACCGTCAAAGACACCAGTGATCTCCTGGGCCTCCTTGAGAGTCTCAGTGCCCTTAGAGGCTGGGATGGGAAGGCTAGCACGCTTGGACATGCTGAAGAAGTTCATGGGAGCGGACTTGGCTGGGCCGGCCGAGACGGCAACGGCGAAAGCGATGATGGAAGCAGCGACGGAGGCCTTCATGTTGATGGTTGGAATAGTTGGGGCTGAAAAAGCTGGATAGTTGTTGAGTGAAGAGAGTGACGTTGGGTTCGACTAGCGAATGTGATGCTTCAAGCAAAAGATGTGAAAAGATTGGAAAGATGAAGGACTGTAAAGAACTGTTGGCTCGATGTTGAGTGCTGTCTTCTGGGTGCGTCTTCCACTCCCTCTTATACAATCCGCAGACCCCATACCCGATGTCTTCTCGATGCCTGCCAACGGGTGAACCACGGAAACATGCACCATGCAAGTCTGGCGAGATCGCAAATAGAGTGAATCCACATGGCCCCGTGCAGCCTCGTGGATGCATGAAACTATGGTTTGCCACCAAGATGGTAAAGACGAGGGTCGATCCCCATGCCGTCGGACATTTCTTGGTCTTGGTCTTGGCGATTATGCTCATTTGTTCGAAACACGACAAACTGGGGTAGTCCTAGGCTTCGCCTATCGTGATCCTCGCGGTTTGTGCCTGTTTCGCCATATTGTGCCAAGAAAGAAGCGTTTCAAAGAGTGAACTTGAATTTCCTCCAATCGCGAAGTCAGTCCACAAGTGTGAGTGCGCCTAGCATTGAGAGTTGTGTACGCTAATCGTGTTCCATAGCATGTCAAAGTGTTTAACATTCTTTGACATCTAAGAAGGTTGCGGTTACATCTGTCAAGTCGGTAGAGCTTCTTCACACTACCAAAGAATATAGCAGTGAATTTTACCAGACGCCATGTCTCTAACGTACACTGAGACTAGTAATTGGAGCACAATATAGCACGACTGCCAGACTTGTTTTTTCTCCACTCTAGACGTATCCTGGCGCGACAGCATGGTGTTTGAGTGGTGGAAACAACGATTCAGTGTCACTACTCGAGTACAAGGAGCAGGAGCGCTTCTGGTTGCGATCAACGTCGTCACCTGTTTAGTGTATTAGTTCTATGAGTATGCATGAGTGTGAGGGAGTCGGTGACATCGAGCCGCCTAACAATGCGCGCGCTTTTGGGCGTTGTTCCTGCCGTCAAAACGCGATTTCGCTCCACACGTAGGCCCGGGCGTCGTTTCAATCAGGTAAAGCGGAGATTTAGTAGCGCAGCTGAGGCACCGGCCAGGAGGATAGTGGAGAGAAGGATGCGGGTGTGTCGTAAGCCGATTGCTTGGCGTGCAAACCAAGGGGCGGGAAAGCTTGTGTATGCGACTTTGACAACAAGGCTGTAGTGCAACCCACTGACTCGAAGGGTCCACACCACCTCGTTGACAACGACTCTAGAGATGAGGACGCGTATCTCTTCTGTTCTCGAACAGGCTCTGGACTGTACAGCGAACGTTGATAGCCTGAGAGACACGACCCGCCTGGCGCAACAACGTCATGAGGCAAACAGCACACCGAAATGAGAGGGCATGCATGAATCAATCCTTTGACATTGTTGAGGCGGAATCTTGGGCGCGACGCTGAGCGGGCAAGACTTTTTCCCCAGTGGTGAAACGGACCAGCCCCGACATGCCGCCTCTCAAACACGATATGCTATCGGTGCCCTTCCGACACCGCCATCAGTGGCAAGAAGAATGTTTGCGCGTTCTGCCATCTCGAGAACACCATTTCCATAGAACAGACACATGCGACTATCTAATCATCGGAGGTAATTAATCCTCTGTCGAGCATTGACGATGTACTGCACGATGTGCAAGCAACAAGTTATTGGATGAGATCACATAGTGGTACGTGAGAGGATCTGTGGCAGCAAAAGCGTGGCTCGGGCCGTGGCTGTGGAGGCGTAGGTGGCGTGCGCCCCGCTTTAATAGAGTCTAATCGTGGCTTTATTCTGACCGTTGCAGAAGCCGTTGACATCTCTCCAGATTATGCACGTCTGTCTACGACCGTTGGCAGTGCATAGAAAAAAGAAATCGAAGTTTGGTACCTTCTGGTGGATACTTCAAGGACTCTAGAACACCTGATGATGTCATTGCCGTACTACTTACCGAGATGAAGCGCCGAAGTCGATTGGCACGGCACAATACCTAAGCTCGGCCATATACTTTTCGGCCACATATACTTCTCGGCCACCCAATCAAAGCAGCCACACAATACAAAGTCGCGATTTTGGTCAACAACAACGATTATATTTGCCACTCAGTACACATAGAGTTGAGAGTACGTGCTGCTGCTGCTTCTGCTGCTTTTTGAGCCTTATTCTCTAGTGAAGTGCTTGCCTGTTGAGCCTGTTGAGCTGCTGCTCGGTCAATAGCAGCCTTAATACTCTCAACGTTACTAAACCGCTAATTTAGATTAACTTGAACTCGCTTTCTTACGCGTGTAACTGTAGTACTATGTAGTTAATATTTAAGTCGTTGATTTTCAGCCTCAAGCTGAGCTGCCCTAGTATTAGCTTCTGTAATAGCCTTGCCTGCCTTGCCAAGCACAAGCCGGGTGCTTCGTGAGAGGGATTCTGACAACTCTAGCTGTTTTTAAGCCTTATATAAGGCTTGTGAGCTCCGAGGTGTAGTGAATAGTAACTCTAGGGTAGCTGACGCCTGGCTGGTAGGTGGAGGAGTAACTGGTCGGCCAGTTACTTAGGATGATAGCAGTACAAGGCCTGAGTTGTGTGGGCAGAGGCCAGAAGCCCTCCAACCAGCTCGTATTACACGATCTGACAGAGCTTCTTCTCTTGCCTTGTTGTATGACACAACAAAGCGCTCCTTCTTAATAGGTGCTGCGTCATTAAGGGCAGAGAGAGCTTAGATCTCATTACGGTACCTGCTCTTGAGTACTGAGAAAGGAGCAAGATCCAGCGGCTGAAGCAGGTGTGAGGCGTGAGGCGGAAGGTATAGGAGGTGGATCTTGTTCACCTTGCAGAGCCACATGAAGTCGATCGGTATATGGGAGCCATGGCCATCGAGTACAAGTAGACGATAGCCGCTAGAGGACGGTGAAGTGTTTGGTATAAAGATACGCCGCAACCATTCATATCCAATTAAGTTTGATGTCCATCCATTCTCTGACGTTGTGTAGAGCCAATCAGGTGTGCCTTGTGCGGGCAACCACGTTGATTGTAGATGTTTGCCCTTAAAGATAACTAGGCATTGAAGTTTAACGCCGACGGCTGAGATGGTCTCAATGATTGATACCCACTCACGATTCTCTGGAGATTTGATATAAGCCTTCTTCTTTGAAGAACTGGCAACCACTTGGGAGTTCGTACATACCCCTAGTGCAACTCCAGTCTCATCCATATTCCATATATCCTTATACTGTATGCCTAGCTCTATTCGAGTGCGCTCAAACAGCTCAAGAAATGCTCGAATAGTCTCATAGCTAGCTGCCGTAGTCCGTGCGCTCTCGATCGTTCGGCCGACTATAGAGGCGACGCGTGGGTTGCGGGCGATGAAATGGGGTATCCATAGTTGCCCGAGAGGCTCGTGGTCGCCGTTCATGCGGAGGAGCCGGGTGGCCATTTCTCGTACGCGTGGATGGGAGGGAGGTTGTGCGCGTGAGTCCTCATCGAGTATCCAGTCTACTAGAAAGGCCTCTTGTTCTGGAGTTAATCGCTGCTGCTGTTGATGAGCTATCGCGTGTGGTTGGCGGCCCTTCATGCGCTCTTGAAGCGACGATCGGGGAACTCCGTACGCCTGCGCGGCCTGTCGCTGGCTTCTAAAAATACCAGCATTAAGATCGCGAATAGCATTATTAAAAGCAACTTCTCGGGGATCCATGTTGAGTGTGTGGCGTTGACAGTATAGAGCGCCAGATTCAGAGTAACGCGTTGTGGTGGGGTGGCCGAGAAGTATATGTGGCCGAAAAGTATATGGCCGAGCTTAAGACTTCCAAGGTTGGTCGCATGCTGCGGAATTTGGCAGACTGAATGGTATCGACAACTGTTTGTCACACAGAAACGATTGCCATACTATTTCGGCTGCGGTCATGCAACTCGCGCGATCTGGTGGCTATATCTCCTGGAATTTGAGGAAAACTTCGCAAAGTTATCGTTCCGGCAGGTGTGTCACTCACACTCGCTCGACTATGCTCAACACTTTTAGCTGAACTACCCCCGTTGAAGCTAACACACTGTCACTACACATGACCGTGCCTGCGAAGTCGAGCACACGAACAGACATATCGTTGTCAACCAGCTACTACACTTTGTCTTCTCCCCCGATCCACCTGCTCGGCAGACTTGTGCTCGGCCATGCAGAACAAAACCTGTAAAGATCTTCATAGGTCTATTAGAGGCCAAATGCGCGGCTACCGCGATACTCTGTGGATTTTCGGTGGGCTATTCGTAGTGAAGGACTGCAGTCAACGTCCACGTAGATCCGAGATGCTTTAGAATAATACAACCCGATGGGTCATGAGCTTTGTGCGAACTAACTCGAAGTACTACAAGGGCCTCTTGGCTACGCTGGAGAAGGAAGGTTTTGACTGAACCAAGATCCAGGTAAGGCAATGAGACGATCTCAACGTACAATTATTAACCCGATTTAGTCTAACCATGCATACATTGCGATTCGCGCGGTTAGAAGTACCTTTCACGAGACAATACGGTCAGATGGCGTATGCCTACCTACGGTAGCAGCGGCTTGCATACAATCGCTGATTCACTACCCAACCAAGCACGAGTGAAATATGGTTTGGGTCGTTGAAGACACACCGGATAAACTCAATCGATCGGATGATTTATAAAATGACGATAACGGGGTCGGGTTATATCTAGATAGACACGTTAGAAGTGTGTGGAGGGAGGCTCATCATTATATTGAAGACCTTCACTGATCGGAGCGATTTTGCTAGCCAATGCCGCGAGTTTACCTGGGCAATCCAAGAAATCTGTCCTGACAGATTTCCGATTATAACTGCAAACACTCGTAAGGGTGTGTGTTGCTATATTTTGGCTACCATGTACCAAGCTATCGCTCTCGTCTCTGATTCTTGCCCCCATCACAAACCCTCAATTCCCCATCTGTCTTCCTTTTTCTGCGCTCGTATCTTGAGGATTTGATTGCAACCACTTCGAAATGAACTATGGCAATCATTCTAACCCCGGTTGAACCTAAGGGTTAAATTCACTCTCCAACACCCCTCCACAAACTCCCGTAAGACAAACGACAAGCGCGTTGTAGTAAACACTTCCTGTACTAGCGCAATTCTCATACAGATCCCCGCCCGCGTAGTAACAGTTTCCAATCGCCGCATTGGGGCTTGTAACCGTATCGATTAGGACACCATAGTCGCCCGTATAGTCCGCGTTGTTCACCTCGGCACCGCAGTCACCAGAAAACGTACCCGCAGACTTGACAATGCGCATGGTGGAGGGGCACCCTGGCACTTCTAGGTCGCAGAAGTCATTGTTGGTCCAGTCCTTCCATTTGTCGACGCTGGCGTCCGCCGAAGTGCCTGCGTCGCAGAAGTCGGAGGTTGTGAAGCCGGAATCTTGGCCGGGGATATCTATGGAAAAGAGGTGGTTAGTGACGATGGGTCCAAGTGGTAAGACGGGCGTCCGTGTCGTTGTGTGTTGGGCCGGTGATAGTGATCAGACTTACTTGTACTAATCCACGTTCCTGTCACTGCTAGTTGTCCTGGTGTCTGAAAAGTACCACCAAGCTGTTGACCAGAGTATTTTCCAATGACAAAGTCTGCGACGGTAGATGCAGGCAAAAGACCCAAGATGGGAAGTGCCGAGAGCTGTGAAGTCCTCATTTTAGGAGTAGCAGGAGCTGGACAAGGAGCAAATATTCCGATAGCGCGTTCAATACTGAGAGTGACAAGTCTGAGTGGGAGTCTGTCGCTAATGCGGATGTCCCTATATCTTTCGGATTACCGTGACCTACTTATATGTTTGTTTCCTCTCCCTAGCCTCATCCACTCCCTCTGTCAAAGCTCGTCGCGATCGATCAACTGCTCCATGATTGCTATCAGTAATTCTATAATGACGTTAGCACAAGCATACCAAGACCAACGGTTCCTTCATCCAGGATCCGAAGGATGCACTTGATTCCATTTACATCAGTCCTACGTGTAGGTTGTGGGTACACTGCATGCCGAAGTCCGTGATCAACGCTTTGTTTTGCAACAGAAGCTACGCAAAAACTAGAAGACCTTACTTTCGGCGCCGAAGCAGTCAGCCTTGCGGCTATGTCCTCCAATGCTCTACCTGGTTGTTGAGGGTGAAGCTTGAACGCCTAAAACGGATATCTCCGCGTCGTGGAGAACATTCAGTTGCACAATACGAGACTGGAGGCCTGGAGACGTGGAGAATTGTGGTACGCCTGACTCTGCCTCGCCGACGTCCTGGAGTGCCACTAAACATATCTGAGAATGCTGTGCCAAGTGAAGGAATTCGTAAATCTGAATGACGCTCCGCATTAATAGTAGAGAAGAAGTAACCAACCAGTCATCGCTTATACCATGTCCATGTGTCTGGGATCTTTATCAAATTACGTTTGATGAAAGTGTCGAAGAAATAGTTAGGCTCAAAAAGCACAATATAGGAGATAAACAACACATCCTTCCATAAGTGATATTATCATGTTTTATAGCGATACTAGAGTAGATGAATATGGGATTAGACTTTTTTCCCCATTGCCACACGCGGTGGCCAACTACTTCTCGGTCATAGTCGGTTATTAACCCTCATTTGTGGCGTTCACGAGTAAGTGTTCTCAAGCTTAGCGTCCTAGCGGCCCAATGTTGTTAGCACCGCCAGCCCTCCTTGATGACGTTGCTCCAAGCGAAAAGTTGCCCAAGCCTCGCGGACCAGGACCAAGACCACTGGCAACAGGCTGTCTGGGGACAGGCGAGTTGTGGTATGAGGAATCGATATCTTGGCTCAAACATGGGGGCTGACGTGAACCACCAAGGACCGGAAGTTGACTTCTATGGGCTTGTGAAGGCGTCCCGACTGGAGCAGAATCTTCACTTCGTTAGCGTGTAATGCTCTCAAGGTAGCCATACCCCTGGGGTCTTTCGATGCAACCCGAGGGGGGTCAACTCACGACCGATATTGTTCCTGCCACCTAGAACCCGTCTTTGCAATGATGGATTCAATGGGGCCCCGATGTGGATACTACTCTGCTGAAGCCGTCCACTGTTCTCAGAACTCCTGCTGAAATCTCTGTTGTGCATCCTGCCGCCGCCAACTTGGTGGGACATGTTCATCTGACTATAGTTGGCCGTTCCCGTCCGTGTGCCGGGAAGACGGTCAATGAAACGATCTCCTCGAGCATTCTGGAGCGTATGCGCGGCTTCGTTACCAGCGGCCCGGGCTACGTGGGTCAAGTTGACCTGCCCTTTCAGTGCTTGGTAGTGATTCTGGACTCGTTGATGCGCTATGGTCTTTTCTTTATAAGCTTTCGCAAGTTCAAAGTTCTTGGTTTCGAGAGCCTCTTGTTCGGCCTGCATAGCTGCACAACTGTAAGTACGAGGTGTGTCGATGGTGTGAGGGCGTGATGTACCCTGCATCTTGTCCTGTAATGCCTTGATCTGCGCATTTGCATCATGGATGAGCTGATCCATCTGTTGGCTGAGCGTATCGTACTTGTCAGTCAAGCCCTTCGCGAGATGCTCTTGATATATGATTTCTTGCGATGTCTGATAGCTATGGAAAGCCAAAGCGCGGCTCGCACATTCCATGATGATCGTCGGACTCAGGCCACTGAGTACTGACGTCTTGTAGTCTTCCGATGGGCTGAAGCCTGCAACGACTACGTCGTCAGGGTTGTGCAGCGATGCGTTACATGCTGGACAAGTTCGATGCGCATTCGTAGACCTCGACAACCCAGTGGTATCCGCGCAATCGCTGCAGAAGACATGACTGTTTGCAGTCGTCAGCGGCCGAAGGGCTAGAAGCAGGTGAGGTGGACAAACCTGCAAGTGGTGACTACGGCACGCTCGTGCAACCGCTTTCGACACTTCAGGTCGTTGCACCGGAGAACGAACTCCATGGCGAACTGACGGTGTGAAGTGTAGGAAGCTTCGAGTTTGGACGGTGGAGAAAGCACGATGTTGACGCGGTAACACGTGGACGGCTCACTGAGGCAAGAGCAACCCAACCCAGTATGAAGTTTGTCCATTCCATATCCTAGAAATGTGGTATCTCGCTGTGCATGCAATAAACAAGCAGAAAGTGTGACGATGGGCCACCTTTGCTCCCGCAATGGAAACTACCGGTCATCCTTGTCAGGCTTCCGCCGTTGTCTTGTACTCTTCTTGCCAGCCACAGCTGTATCATCTTCCTCTTCGTCCCGGCCCTTGGCAAGATCCTGTTCGAGACCCCACTCTTCATTGTCATACCAGTCCTCGCCATCGCTCATTTCTCCTACATGTGCTTCCGCTTTGGACCATTTATAAACATCTTGCCGCATGCGGTCGGCTTGCAATAGACCTTGATACAGATCTGAGGTTATGCGTGCAACCTCCTCCTGCTTTTGTACATAAGCCATGAGAAGCATGCGCGTTTCCTCGGCCTCGCTGGGTGGGAGACCAAAGTCGCGATCCGGCAGTGAGTCTGAGGGGTGTATAAAGTGAGGATGTATTGCACCAACACCGCTCAAGGGGGAATGAGGTGGGGAAGGGGTGGAGGCTGCCGCCTGAGCTCGTCTTCGAGTCGTCATCCGATGCGCCGTCTGTTGCGACGCGGTATCAGACGCATCGTCGGGTGTTCCTTCTCCGTTCTCTTGCGCTTGCTCTGCGTCCCCAATGTGGGTTCCGTTTGTTACAGGATGTGCGCCATTGACCTTCTCGCCGTTGGTCTCGGTCTCTCGGCTAGTGCCATTTGGCTGACCTGCATCCTCCATGTCTACGTCATGGGGACTTTCCGAGGTATCCTGCATCTCAGCATCATGAGTTTGCTGTTGCTGCTCTTCTTCTTCCGCGTGTCCGTTTGCGCCATCGATCCACGACTCTTGGAAGGGCGCTCTGCCCATAGCCGATAGAGCATCTGGCGCAAATGTAGAGTCGCCCTGAAGCTTTACAAACAAAGTCTTTGCCCGCGCGTTGGTGACGTGCTCTTTTCGCGAGAGAGCGCCGGCTTCGTTCGCGAGTTCCGTGAGGTGTCGAGAGGAGTATGCCACGCTCAGGGCAGGATGGTTGGGTAGGTCGGCGGCAGAGGTGAGCGGCGCAAGAAGACTCTCCAGCTGTATGTTACCATATGGATTCTCTTCGACAGGCTCCACGTCCTCCTCGTCCTCGTATTCGTCGTCGACTTCGACAATATCGCCGTCCGGATCGTATCGCGGAGGGTTGCGCTGCAAGATAGACCTGTGGTAGCCGGCATGCTCAATGCGCTAGGAGGCGTCAGTCTACGATGGGCGCCCACGTAGTATAGCTCGAAACGCACCTTCTTGTAGGGTCGCGGATCAGATAGAAAGTCTGGGTCGCTAGCGCGCGCATAATGGACTTTGCGCCTCAAATCCTGCTTGTTGCTACTGAAAGGCGTCTCGGAATCTTCTGTGTCAGCTGCGCCGTGTTAGCTGAGCACTGTGTGGAGGTACATGCAGCCCTACAATCGTCTTTTTTCAGCATCTTTCTCTTCATGCTGAAGATGGTATCCAGTATCTGCTGCTGTTGGCCCGCCATGGCGTCGACGGCGTCTGGCCAGCGCGAGCGGAAAGTGGGTGGAAAGACCAAGTGTGGATATATGCGCGTCCAGCTAGTACAACAGCGTGTCGCACGGCTGGGGGTATTTTCGGGGTAAGAAGACGCGTGAAGACAAGGCCGGACTGCTAAAGTATGGATGTGAAGTGTTGGAGAGCTCGTGCCTGTGTGGAGGAATCGTTCGGCGGAGAGAACATCCATGACAGGGTTCAGGCTAGCGTCATCCCTCCCGCGATTAGCACACCTAGGCATGTGTCGACGGCCCATGACATAGACCCGCCAGCAATCTTGACAGTGTCTTCACATCCCACAAGCACATCTACTTCCGCCAATTCGAGACGACTTGTGCCAAATCTTGCACCCGGCTTTGCTGTTTTGCGTGCGACGAGCAAATCCCATTCCGCACCACCTCCGCCGCCCTCCCCCACTGTAGCTGCCACTGTCCCCATGGAGCGATAACTTGCGCGCGCGTAGAGATATGGACGCATACCCACCCGACTTTGTAGTCCATAACCTACCCTTTATTGTCCTCTCGGGCCTAGCGACTAGCAAAGAAGTCGACCCCCCTCCATCGGTCCAACATGTGCTTCCTGGTCGAGCTGTCACAAGCATCAGCTCAGATATCCCGCCCGTAGATGGCGACCGCGCGAATGAACTACTCCAAGAGTTCTTGAGCGCAGACGGTACCAGCGCGCCCTGGAATGCGCGCGACTTCAGCCGTCGAGGCATCACACATGGCTTCAGAATACGGAGTGTAGGAAGGGTACAGGCGCCTGCGAACATGCCACGGGAAGGAGCCATGGGCTGATGTTTGCTAGAACTTCCAACTGCCACCGAAAAAGGCAGATGCGCCCTCAAACTCCGAAACAACTCCTCCAGGCAGTCCCACAATCGCAGCCGCGACATCGTGGGTCCTGCATTCGCCCATATCACCCCTCTCCCCAGCATCTCCCTCCTTCCCCGACGGTGTAATCGCTCCTGCCTGGGTCGCAAAGCACCAACACTACGTACCCTCCGTATTCATCTCCTTCTTCAACTTCACCACTGATCCCATCACAAACAGCCTGCACGATAATCAGCTGAAGACGGACATCAACAAGATCAAGGGTCAGATACAAAAGTCGGACTATCGCACAAGATACGTCGTCGTGTTACTGAGTGATAAGACCATCATCGAGGCGCCAGATATCGAGGATCGATTGGCCGTGATACGGCGGGCTACTGGCCTGGATCCAAAAAATTCGCTCTTCTTCTTGCCTCCAAGAACATCGCGTGTCGAACTCCAAGCCTTCGTTACATCCATTCTGGCCATACTGCAACCTGTTTGCGTCGAATACTACCGAGACCTTACCAAGCATGCGCGAAGGAAGAAGGGACGAGGCACGATCCCTCCACCAACAGCTCCACCTACACGCGGAACATCACAAACGCTGTCGTATCCCGGGTGGGGTGTTCGTTATGACTTCAAGCTGGGTATACTGGCCGAATTCCGCCAGGAGATGGATGCTGCGCAGCGGCACTACAGTACTGCTTTGGAAGCCTTGTTCGGTGCCGAAGGCTTGTTTGAAACCACGGCGAGTTGGTCTCCACGGTGGGATGAGATCCGCTTGTTAGCAGATGTCATCGCACTGCGACACATTCGGTGCCAGCTATGGAACAATTTCCCTACCTCCGCTGTCCAGTCATGGTTGAGATACAAGTACAGACTACAAGACGTGCTCGATCGCCGGGGCAAGGGTAGCAATAACTACGGTTGGCAAGCCTGGGAGTCTACATGGGCCCAAGCCATGGCTGAGATTGTCAGGCGAACAGAATTGCCGATCTTCAAGATAAGGGATCCTTCGTCAGATCCAGATCCCTTGATAGACTTCCCGGGTGCGTTGTACTCTCAGCCCGAGAAACAGTTTCCAGTGGGAGAAAGACTGCCGCCATGGGAATTGCTACATCATGCTGGATATTGGCATAAGATTGCCAGTGATCATGCAAAGAAGCGTTACATTCTTGCCAGGGAGATGCCAGAAGAGGACCGAACGCCGCCGGGAATGTCGCCTGCTGCTAAAGTTTCCGCTCGGAACCAGATATACGATCACTATCTCGTACCGCATCCGCATGAAGAGTACCCGGTCCCAGGTATTGGTAATGGATTTGAGCATTGGAAAGACATCTCAGCCAAGCTGAACGACGCGATCGCCGAGTTCAAGTCTCGGGGACAGCATCGGAAGGTAGATCAGATGCAACTTGAGGTGGCTCGGACACTGCTACACGTAAGGAAATTTGACGATGCCTTGAAAGTACTACGACCACTCTGGGAGACGATGGCTTGGCGAAAAGAAGGTTGGTGGAGCCTAGCCTCAGAAGTAGTATGGGCCCTACATGAATGTGCGCTGCGAACACAAGACCGAGAAACATATGTTGCAACGGAATGGGAACTTTACAGTCAAAGTTGGTATTCTTCTGCTATCTGTATAACATCACTGACTAACATCAACCAGCAATTCCTGGCAAGACAAAATACAAATACGATTTGATGACATGTCTGGACGTATTCTCAGACGCAGCAGCTGACAAGGTGAGCGTGAGTCTGAATGCCAAAGACCACATATCTCCCTGTAAGTACGGAACTCTTGTCAGAATGACGCAACACTGATATGGCAGTGTCAACAAGCTTTGCTTTTGCCGAAGCAGAGGGTAACGTGGGTGAACCACTACGCTCACAGCTCGCAATGACCTCGAATGCTCGACCAGGTTCTGCTCCAGTCACCTTGTCGTTCATACAATACCAGTTCAACGGAGGCTTGGCTGAGGTCCGGCTGACTCATGATGCCGATGGAATTTCTTCCGGGAGTGCCTCAACAATGTACTCTTGCACGTTAGAGGAAACCCATTCCGCTACCGGAAAACCACGTTGGGCTGGAACAGCTGACCTGACGCTCCACCCTGGGCAGACAAAGGTGTACAGCTTCCCACTTGTCCTCCGTGAGTCGGGAGATGTCGATATTGCGGCATGCGTCTTCGGTGTAACCACAGAAAAGTTTGAACTTGCTTGCTCAGACACGGACCCGGAAACTCCAACTCGTCCCATGTGGTGGATCAAGTCAGATGCCAAAATCAAGTCAAGATCGCTGAAACATGGATCTGGCATGTCTGTTCACATACTACCCAAACCGCCCAAGATGGAGATCAATTTGCCGGACGTTCGCAATCAGTACTACACAGATGAGTCAGTGACGTTGGCAATAGAGATCCTGAACCAAGAAGAGGAAGACACTGAGGCTGTTCTCGAGGTGCGACTACTGGGCCGGTCCAAAGATACTCTGAGTTATACATGGCTCGAGCGTCCAGCAGAGTCACCAATGAAGGAGGTTCCGCCTGCGCTCGACGGGTCTACGGATGTGGATCTTCCAGGGCATGTAGTGGGAAAACTAGCCCAAGGAGCAAGAACAACGGAGAGGATTCGCTTCACTGCACCTGCGGATCCAGCAGACTATGCCTTGGAAGTCAAAGTGCTATATCATGTCCTCAGCGACCGCGATATACCCATCTCCAAGATCATGGTCGCAGATCTCGTATTCAACGCTCCCTTCGAAGCAAGTTATGATCTAAACGCACGTGTACACCCTGATCCATGGCCCAGCTATTTCGAGCTACAAGAAGCAGAAAGCAACGTCAACCCTGAGTCGCCTGATGCATTTGGTATAGCACAGAAATGGGGTCTACGAGCGAAAGTCGCGTCCTTTGCCGACGAACAGCTTGTTGTCAGCGACCTAGCGGTCGAAGTACACAGCATTCACGGCGGCGCAACCTGCGACGTGACCAAGGAATTTAATATCGAAGAAACAGCCATGGAACCCCAGATCCTCAGCGAATGGGGCTTCAGCCTGGATATCCGAAAAAACAATCTAGAAGAACGTCGTTCGACCGCTCTTGACACCACTCTCAACATCACATGGAAACGCACTTCCGATCCGCTTGCCTACCCAGTCACGTCCTCGTTGCCTATTCCACGCATCCAAATCCCGTCTTCTGAACCTCGTGTCCTCGCTTCTTCCCACCTCTCACCCACGATCCCCTCACTCATCCACCTCGACTATGTGCTCGAGAATCCGACTATGCACTTCCTCACCTTTGAACTCGCCATGGAAGCTAGCGAGGACTTTGGCTTTAGCGGACCTAAACTACGGACTTTGCATCTGTTGCCTATGAGTCGACAGACTGTGCGATACAATTTACTGTCGAATGTGGAGGGCGATTGGATTACCCCGAACCTAAAGGTCACGGACCGTTACTTTAACAAGACGTTGAAGGTGCAGGGAACGGAAGGGATGAGGTTAGATAAGAAGGGTGTGGGGATTTGGGTGCCTGAGGATGGATGGAAGGGAGAAGAGGGAGGAAAGGTAGAGTAAGTAGTACAAGGCACTGGTGTGAGAAGAGCAGGACACGTGGACGAGTAAAGTGAAAGTAGCTTGGAGGTGTAGAAATCATGCTTTCTTCTATACGCAGGCAATGCCAGTCAAATTCATGATAAACAGGCTCCCTCTGTGCACTGCATCAGGGTGCAAATCTTCTGACACGATGATTTGACTCAATGATCCAGTCCAACCATAGGACTCAAAAACCGTCCTCAACACGCCCAAGTGCTCTAGATGGAGTCGCACAGATCTTCGTACTCTGCCGTGCCCATCACTTCTTCATGAAGTAGCCTATCCGGAGCCCCTAACCTGCGTCACCGGGTCCCTCCCCGGGATTTCATTCCGATATAGATCTTCATCCTGCTCGTGACGTGGTATCCGCAGTGTAGTCTCCCCCTCAGCTGTGGTACGCGGCATTAATGTTGTAGTATCTATATTGTTCTGAAATCTCATCAGTTATTAGGGACTCCTCACTGATAGGTGCTAGGGGAGGAGTGTGGGCATACTGTGGTGGTTCATCGCCCGAATAGATTGGTTGTTCGAAGTCGGTGGCCGCGTGGGAGAGGATTGTGGAATCGATTGGGGGGATTTGCGTTGTGGATGGAGGTTGTTGTTGTTGTTGTTGGTTGAATTGTGACGATGGTTGTTGGTGGATGTTGACCTGTGGTGTGGACGTGGTATTTCCAGTCTGCTGTTGTGCCCCATCGACTTCGACAATCTTGTCTTCTTGCACTCTTACTTCACGGTCTCGTAGACGACGCATGAGCCCGAGGAACTGTGAGTTTTGAAACTTCTCGCTTGTGTTGTCTGCAACGCGCTCTAGCAGTCGACCTGCTGTTGCCGCCATCTCGTCATCATCATTCTTCGGGGGTTGTTCTTGCTTCTGCTCTTCCTCAGGTCTTTGTTCCATCCGTTGCATTATCGGCTCTGGTGTCCTCATGTAGCCTGCTGCTTCCAGGTCCTGCCATATCTGCTCTTCGCTCATCAGCACCCGTGAGCCCAGTGGGTACTGTGACATGAGGCGTTGGTTGATTGCCGTGATGAGCTTCTCGGCTCGGGTCTTGACTTCCTGAGGGGCGTCGCGGTTTACAATTCTTTGCAGAGAGTCGACGATCCATCTCCCCTCGTTTGCATCTTGCACCAAAGTACCGGTCCGTTCCATATTCTCCATGTTTTGAAGGTATGTCACCGCTTCGTCGGTTCGTCCAAGACCGGTTTCACTCCAGACCTGGATGGCAGAGTAGACAGCTAGAGACACAGTCAGCACTCGTAGCATGTTTGACGGACACTACACACCTGGCCGCGTTTCTCGTATCCGTTGAAGAAGAGGATCCATCTCACCCGGCCGATCTAGGTCCAGCGCCTCTTGCGCTGGCTGTGTGTGTACTTGCTCTGCTTCTACGACCTCCATCATGTCTTGTTGCGCCTGCGCAAACGCTCGTTCAAAGGCCGCCTCGTCGAAGGCGGGGACGTCATCTTGGGCGCGCTGCTTTCCTTGCGCGACCTCGGATACCTGGGCGTTCTGGAAATTCGGTGTCTGCATGTATGCCTGTCCACCGAATCCACCCATGTTATATCCCGACATGCCTCCATATGTGGTCTGCTGCAAGGCAGGCGCCTGCGCGACCGGGGCCTGCTGCCTCAAGAAGTCCTGATGCCATGCTGATGCCGCGTTCGCTGGCTGCGTTCGCTGCTGCTGGAACGTCTGTGGAGGTGGGCTGCTGACGTTCAAGCGCTGGAAGTCAGCAGCCCAGTCGGGTGCCTGTGGAGGTTGCGCAAACTGAGGAGGAGGAGGTTGTGCGAATCGCGGATCGAAGTGTTGGAAGTCGTGCGCCGGCACTGGTCGACCGGATTGGAATGCATCGAACTCGGAGTCTAGTGTGCCTGCATTTAGTCCCGGTGATGATCTGAAGCCCTGCTGTCGGTTAGATTGTGCAAGTGCAAGCCTCGGGTTTGATTACATACTTGGGCTGGTGAATGTCTGCCGACCAGGCGATCCTGTTGCAGTGTCCGATCGACGGTAGTATGTTTCTGGAAGTTCTGAAGGGCGTTGGAAGGCCCGCAAAGCGCGTCGGCCATGTTGAATCAAACAAGAACAAAAGCACGAGGGGTATCAACGCATGCTCCAAAGGAAGTGTGAGGAAGATTGTCGGAGAGTTGAGCTGCGGCGACTGCTCGTCATGTCCCGACCATGATCAGAAGCCGAGGCTCACTCACTAATACGGACCGAACGTCGCCCCACGCGTCAGATGCCAGCGACAGCCATGACGAACAAGCACGTGCTCCGCCATTCTCTTGTCACCCTTTGGACCGCGACCGGCGGAATCGCATCTCCGATACGTGCGTCGCACTGCATGATGCCGGAATAGTTTTAAAATTTAACACACTCTCTTCCGTCAGTGGACAGCTGTGATGAGGTAGCACAAGACCGGTGAAGAGCTCGAAGCCGTTGAGACGCACAAACACGCACAAGATGGCACACATTGCTGCAGAGAACTGAGATAGAACGTATTGCATATGTCGTGGTCGCGTTTCCGAAAAAAAGTCAAACGCCTATCCAAATAAGAGTAAGAGACTGAGCTGAAGTACCTATGTAAATGTATCCAAGACACGAGGGAAGATTGGTATATCTTAGAAAAGAGCAATCGTAAAATCCAACACCACACAGACACTCACTGACCAGCGAAACCCGTCCCTGCACAGCCCTTTCCAATCTCATCTTACCTGAAGAACATCTCCCCCAAGCTGACGTTCGTCCTACTTGACGACGAGGCACCAACAACACTCCTGGAGCGAGACCTAGACTTCTTCCTCACAAAAGCGTATTCCTTCTTGCCCCTGCTATCACGACCCTCTGATTCTATGAACAGCTTGCTACCATGGCTGGTGCGGAGACGACGAGTGTGCTCGAAGAGAATGTCAGTCTCGCGTTGGGACATCTCCCGGAGGACGATGATGTACTCTGGGTTCTACCGCAATTGTTAGCACTTGATTTCGCATCATGTCAGTTGGTCAAGACTTACCACATCGTATTCATATGGAATGTCGTAATAGTGCAGCGTCTCAACATCGAGATGACTCCTGTGGATCTTGGCGTATGTTGGCGGTGGAGGTGCAATGGCAATCTGATGGTGATGGTGGTGCTGTGGAGGTGGGGGAGGGGGAGGTGCAATTTGATGCATGGGATGGTTGGGCATCATGCCTGCTTGTAGGTGTCTTTCCCTCTCAGGGTGGACAAGCGCCTGGATCTGGTTATCTTGGAAGCCGAACTGAGAGAGCCTCTTGCGCATCGTCTCTTCGAGCTCCTTCTCTTGTTCCTCTTTCTTCCTCTTGTCCTCTTCTTCCTGTGCTTTTTGCTTTCGCATAAAGGCTTCGTACTCCTCTTTGTCCTTCTGCTTCTTTGCTTCTTCTTCGAGTCTGATCTTCATCATGAGTTCGTCTCGTGCCCTCTTTTCCTTCTCGGCATCCAAGACCTTCTTACGCTCGTACTCGAAGATGATACGGTCATGCTCTGCTTGAGCTTCGGCCTCTTCCTTGGCCTTCTTTCGCTGATACTCTTGGACAGCACGCTCTTGAGCTTCCTTTGCCTCTTGGGCCTGCTTAGCTACCTTGGCTTCGTTCTCAGCGATGATGCGCTTGCGCTCTTGTTCCATGGCCTTCTCCTTGAGCTCACGCTCACGCGCTTCCTTCTCAAGTTTGGCAGTGTTCTCGTCAATGATGCGCTGGCGTTCTTCTTGCTCTCGCTTTTTCTTCTTGTCCATTTCAGACAGGATCTTCTCACGTTGTTCCTCGGCCTCTCGTTGCTCCCTCGCTTGCTTTAACTTGGCCTCAGCAAGTATTCGTTTGCGTTCATCATCCTGCTCCCTCTGCTCCCTCTCTATCTTGGCTAGGAGCTTCTCACGTTCCTCCTCGGCCCGCTGTTGCTCTCTGGCTTGCTTCATCTTGCTTTCAGCAAGAATCCGCTTGCGTTCGTCCTCCTGATCTCTCTGCTCCCTTTCTAGTTTAGCCAGAAGCCTGTCGCGTTGTTCTTCGGCCTCTCTTTGCTCCCTAGACATCTTTGCCCTGTTTTCGGCGATGATAGAAGCACGCTTCTTCTCTTCTTCGACCTCGCGTCGTTCGCGATCTCGTTCTTCCTTCGTTCGCTGCAGCTCCCAGTCGCGACGCATACTCTCCTCTGCCCTCTTGATCCTATCCTCTTCTGCCTCGCGCTCTCTTCTATCCTGGATGAAGTCAAGCTCCACCCTGCGTCTCACCAGTTCCGCCCGTCTATCCATTTCCTCCTCTCGTCGTTCCCTTTCGAGTTTCTCTTCAGCTTCTCGGAGTCGTTGTTGCGACAGTGCCAAGTTCACCTTGTCTTCGTAGCCGTGATCTGGCGAGTGATGACGTCTTTCCCTCTCAAGTTCTTTTTCAGAGTCTCGTAGTCGCTGTTGCGCGAGCGCCAGTTTCATCTTGTCCTCGTAGCTACGGTCCGGAGAGTGGTGATGGTATCGCTCCTGCCGCTCTCTCTCAAGCTTATCTTCAAGATCTTTGAGACGTTGCTCAGCGAGTGTCAACTTGATCTTGTCCGCGTAGTTAGGCTCTGGAGAGCGTTGGCGTTCATGGTACTCGTGTCTAGAGCGCGAACGGTGTTCCTTCTTCAGATCTGCCCTCAGCCCAGCGATCTCATCCTCCAAATCCTCAAATGCACCAGGCATCTTCTGTTCGCGTCGACCGCGACTGACCTCTGGGCCCTTCTGCTCAGAGCGCAAAACTGGTCGGCTATCGTTGTCCAAGTGACTGGTGTTGTAGATTGTCACATTGGGGGCGGGCGCGTGACCTTGTGAGCGGGTCCTATGGAGACCGGTCGTGTAATGCACTTCTGGGGCCAGGTACTCGGTTGTATGGCGAGCATAGTCGGGACGATAATGCGCATCATCCACAGTTCTCCGGGGCGGGGTTTTGGATGTTGGAGGATGAACATGACGGATGTTCAGGTGGTCCTTCGTAGTTTTGGAATACCACTCGTCCTCTTCGTAACTATCCCACTCCTTTGCCAGCGGCATGGTGGGCGTATGAGTTGGGAATTGGAGGAGATTCAAAAAAGATATGTATACTGTTCAGTGATAAAGAGATCACAAGACAGAGCAATCAGTTCAAATTCTTTGTGTCTGGTCTCAGCTGCGGCGTGAACGGCGCAGGGCGGGGTGATGAACAGACACTGAGGGGCGGCACAGAAGCAGATGTGACACGGTATCAAACAGTAGATAACGTAAGAACGCAGGAAATTGTCAGCACGAAAGTGCGGCTGCAGTGGAATTTGAAGGAACCCGCCCTCATGGTGCATTTGGGGGCTGAAATGCTCGCGATGCAGCTAGTCATCAGGCAGCTGCCGCCAGGGCTGAGGCCGGGGTTTCTCATGCGCGGGTCTGCTGAACACACATCAGCCTGTGGTGCATGTCTATCTGCGGGCGTCAGTCCAGACTGCCGTCCACACACCCGCGCTCCGCTCTGCGACGTTGCAATGCTGTCGTGTGCGATGTTTGCGACCATTTTGTTCTGCATCCTTCAGTCTTTAGCGGCGCGAGATGGTGATGGTTTGGTGGGGCACGTCGAAAACTGGTATACTAACCAAGGCGCTTAAGACCTCTTTCCTCTCTTAGCCGCGGGGGTCGCAACACCGTGACAGCTTGGTGAAATTGGTCGGCCTTACAGTGCTGTTATCTCCCAAAATCGTTGGATGTCATCGCTTTGTACGTTTTCGCTACCTGCATATTTCCCTCTTTATGCGCTCCAAGACACATATTTGCACGAGAAGCGCCTCATGAAACAGTGACGCTCGCGTGCGACCCACCGAGGTGTTGTGACCACTTCCAGCTTTCATCGGAGTAAGCCTTCATGTGTCCGGGATGGGCGTTTTCGGTTAGAGCTGCCCCCAAGATCGTCCCGCATAGACATAGTCCAAGTTCAGCCACAACTTACCACTCATTATCGGCGGTCTGGATGGCCTAACATGTGGTTTGCTGCAGATGGTGCGGACCTTGCGAATCTGGACCATATAGGCATTCCACAGAACACATTGACAGCAGATCGTCATTTCGTTTGAACAACTCAATGTGAGCGGAGAGGTATCTAGCCAACTTTCAGCACCAGCCAACGCCAGCTATGCAAATATCGTATGCTTCATGATCATATTTTTTCCTCGACGACTTCTTTCAAGCTCTCCGCTCGTCGAATCAGTTCTTCGTACACAGTCCAGGCAAGCGCACTGCTCATTGCCTTCCTCGCAATCCTGATACCAAGTCCATCGAACAAGCTCCGTAGACCCTCCTCCACAAGCATCTTCTTGCTTGCTTGTACCATATTCACGTAGCGGTCAGGCATTAGCTGTATCCGCGTCTTGATGGCATCGAAGGGATTCGTGACAGTCGTTCCCAGCCCTGCGGCTGCAACACCAGAAACAAAATTGATGCCTGCGGATGTACTGGAAGAAAGCTTGGTGGATGTGCCGGAAGTTTCCTCAATCCTGGTTGCAAGACTGGAAAGCTTCCTCTTCGACTGCTCGTAGAATAGAACGTAAAGCCCCGCATATGGTGCATCGCGGACGGCTGTTGCGCCGAAACCAGCAAAGAAGCCCTTGAGTCCCTCCGTTCGGAAGATGTCTCTTGATGCTGTGAAGAGCGAATTGTACGAGTACAGATTACTCTCGTACCGCACTTTCAAAACGGTAATCGGCATCATGATGAAGCCTGCCCATGTCCGCGCGAAGGCACCAGTTGCCAGGTTTGCGGTATTGCTCAGTTTTGGTAGAGAGCTTGAGTGCTCCGCTCCCCTCGCTGCCGCATCGCCGCTCCCCACTGCGACCAGACTCGCCCTATGTCGCAATGCATTGAGACTCGAAAAGTATATGGCAGATCCGAACCCCGTGCGTAAAGTGCTCGGTAGTGTACCCCTCCAGAATTGACGTATCGGGTTCGGTCCGCTGGCTATCGACTGGATGGTTCCATAAAGTGTGCTCGAGCGCGATTGTTGGACGCGGGTCTTGAGGAGGTCGGCAGGTTGGAGAAGGACTGCAGATAGAACACCTGAGTTTAATCCAGCGAAGAAGTGGACTGCATTGCTGATTAACAACTATGATCCCACCGGTCCCTGAAATGCAATAGCAATTACGCCCAATGCCTCTTCTGCACTTACAGTAAGACGACGAGCGCTTTCCGCCATCTGACATTGCCGCGCCTTCAAATGTTCAATTGCTATATGGAGAGTGTCAAAGCTGCACTACGCATCATCGTAATAGCCCTGGAAAATGGCCGTGGATATCAGTATAAGATGGGGTAGTATCGTGTCAACCAAACTCGTGTCGCGAAAAAGTGCATGACGTTTTGAATACACGTTCCGAGCACCGGCGTGTCGGTACGCCGAGGCACCATCTCTTCGCCTGGGTCTGGCGTCCGCGCCTATCAAAGCTGCCACGTTCAACATCAACTTGGAGACTATGAAAATGGTCACTTTCTCGTCGGCTGTATGTCTACGACCTTTTACTTGTAATTGGCAAAGACTGGTCAGCATGCATATCTTGTCAGTAATCTTTCGGTAAGAGTAAAACAGTAGTAGTGTGAATATTACATGAGTACAATAGTTCTAAGTATGGTATGTCCTCCAGGCTTAGTCCTCGTCGTCATCATCGTCTCCGAAGATGGCTTTGAAAACATCTTCGGAGGCACGTTTGATGGATAGAGCATCGTTTTTCTCCACGTCCACAACTGCATGTTTGCCCTCTTGAGTAGCTGTAGCAGCAGCAGCAGCAGGAGGAGTAGAGGCTTCAGGCGTTTGCCCCATCCAGGCAGGTCGCTGAAGAGCAGGACCATTAGTCAAGAACTCGTGCTGCAATTTCTCCATGGCTGACTTAGACACGGCTTCCTCCGTCTGGGATTTGAAGTGGTTTTCACCAGCATCAAACTCAGGTGGCATGTCTGGCGGAGGCTTGACGTTGAAGCGCTTGCACAAGAGTCGTGACGGATAAAAGGGAAAGCTGCTTCGAGTCATTGGGCCGTACATGCCTAGCTTTGCAGCCTGCTCTGCAGGATCCTCTGGCTTTGCGGCTGGTTGTCGTAGAAGGTTGTCAGTCGCTGCTCCACTACCACTCCCATTCAGGGTAGACGACGAGGAAGACGTGAACCGGGATGCCATGATGCCAGTCGTAGGCTTGAACACCTCTGCAGCATGTGCAAACTCCTGCAGCTCCTTGACCCAATCTGTGGTTGATACGCCATCGTTTCGATTTGGCAAATCTTCTTTCAGTCCTGCTTTCAACTCTAAAAAGCTAATATAGCGTGCACGCTTCGCCTTATCCTCCTCGTATGGCATCCAGCCAGTCGCCCCCTTGGCCAGCGCCGCACCTGCCACGCTCTTCTCGAGTTTGGGCACAAGGCCCCACAGATCCTTTGCTTGGGCTTTGTTCGCAGGTAAATGCCCTTCAGGAGCAGCCTCTCCCAAGCCCTGGGGTAGATCAGCCCTACCGGATACTGCAGCCAGACGGTCTCGAGCTTCTTTGGGTATGAAGTCGAAAATGGATTTTCCGGGCAAGGCCTTCTCACCCAAGAGTGCTGAACGACCCTTTGCATCCAGTGTTGATGCTTTCGCCGCGTCGGCTACGGATTGATACTCTTTCGATTCCGAAGTTGGAGTGGCGCTTTTGGAAGATTTCCAGCCGGGTGGTATCTTCGGCGGAGGATATTTAGGCTTGCTTGTAGTGTCTGTGAGACCAGTCGCAAACATGAAACCAGGTAATGGAGATCTTCCATCTATAGATGGCCTGCTTAGCGAGACCAAAGCCTTCGACGAACTCTTCTTCGGAACAAAGACAACCTTTTCTCCCGCTCCTGCTTTGGCGAACTTGCTGGGCTTCTTCACTTTCTTCTCTTTGCCTATGGTCTTATTGAACGTAATTTTTGGGCCCAGTTCGTAAGGATCTTCGTCGTCAGAACCAGTGTCGTTGAGTACACCGACCCCAAAAGAAGATTTCTTCAGCCCGGGCTTCTTTACGGTTGATGCCTTCTTCGGACCTTCGAGATAGTGCAGGTCGAACTTGGATGACTGGTCCCCAGCGTTTTCCTCTACAACGCCCAAGCGGGCTTCTGATGTGTATCCTAAGCCTTTGCGACGGACCTCTTCTCGTGGCAAGTTCATGATCCGAGCATCCTGAGGTGCAAACATATGAGCTGACTCGTCCTTGGAACCGGGTGCACCATCTTTAAGGTCGGCATTTCGGCGCACTTTGCGACCAATGCCCTGGTCTCGTCGCCAGCCCATCTTCTGCGCGAGCTTCACTCCCATTGTCTCTTCCTGAGTTACAAAGAGGCCGAAAAGTCCATCGTCGTCCGCGCGTCCAGCTTCGCCTATACCAGCGAAGTTTTGCGCAGTCTCTAGCTGCCGTGACTCTGCTGCTGCCGCCAGATCTTCCTCGTCCATGAAGTCTTCGGCTCGCTGGGCTTGACCACTAGGCTGGTCTTTGTTGCGGTTTGCGCGGGAGGAAACGAACGTTTTCGGGGTCCATCCTTCCTTAGATCCAACTGTATTAAAGTATCTTAGCATAGTCAAGAAGTCTTACGTTCGTGGAAGGTGTGGCTCGGAAACTTACCCTGCACTGAAACCTCCAGTGAATGCGCCGTGAAGCCTCCTTCTACCCTTCTCGTCTGTTACAGTCTGCTTCCACACAGGGACGAAAGCCCCGTCATCTCCATCTTCATCAGGGAGCTCGGTGCCAAGGGATATGTAGGCTGTTTGTCCGCCGCGAGAACGCTTTTGGGCGTTGGTTGGAGAAGGCGCGCGCGGCCGCTTGTATGCCATTGTAACGGCAGGAACAGGGTCGCGTAATTCGTGGTAATTCGTGGCGAGTCAGTTTCTTCTATACAGAAATTGACTATTGCATCTGATGGACTCGGTCTGCCCTATAGTCAAGCGAAGGAAAGTTGGAGCGCGCGATCACGAGCAAGCGGGCGGGTAGGTGACTAATCAGCCGCCTTCTCATTGGCTAGGTTAGTCTACCCAACTAAATACAGCCACGAGGTATGTAAGAGCTATGAATCGCATGCGCCCCGAAGCAGGCAGTGCACAGCTCTACCAGACTCGAAGCCTACAATAGATGGCTTTCACCGCACATTGCTCAGCTCTTGTCGACTTGACTGCCGTTGAACTAAGGAGTTAGTGAGCTAGAGTGGGCCCGATGATGTCGTGCCGCGCCTGGGTCTTTGGGCCTAATGAGCATAAAAGCATGGCTGGTATCGCGGCTAAGGCCAGGGACCCTGATATGGCGCCAGCAACACAATGTTCTGGAGACGAAGGCGTCAGGAGGCGATGCTGTCTTTGTCTCGAAGACGAAGGGTATAGGCATGTAGATGGGGTGAAAGCCAGGATGAATGCATGGCCCCGAAGCTGTACCTACCCCACCGTATCGGCCCAACCTGGCGCGGTATTGGTAGACGAGCTAGGCGTGGAAGGAGGGAGCTATCGCGTTTGGCCTCGAACCGGAAATAGACATGAACAAAACAACACACAAGCTCGCGTTGGCCGTAATACATGCTGTCCTCGACTTGGAATCTGCATCTGCTCATTTGCTGTAACCCGGTGCTGGCTGCCCTGGGACCTGCATACGTCCAGACAGACGCACACCGAACACGCCGCCGCCTGTGCCAAGTTTCGCGACCACAACCGTCCACCGGCCCCTAACCTCTTGTACACTTACGCCGCATTACCCACCGAGGAGCGACAAAGTAATCTCTTCACATTGTCACGATAGCCTTACCGGTGGTCGCTTCTGCGCTCGCTCCACGCCCTGTGCGTCTGTGCTAATCGAGGCCTGCATCTGCTCCCTGCGTTGCGCGTACCGTGGTAGAGAGCATTCGCCATGTCGGCCGCCGCCCCATCATCGCCCGCAGTCGTGCGCACTTCCTCTTCTTCGCGCAGATCCGTAGACAGACCCCAACGCTCCCAGAGCACCCAGAGCCGGCCCACTGGACACGCGCCCAGCCGCCATCAGCAGCAGAGCGGCCTCCCCAACGTCGCCCGGAGAGACTACGAGCAGAGCAACGTCGCCCAGGAGCAGCCCTCACGTCGCAGCGAAGACCCAGCCCGCACCGAATCCAGCAGACGAAGCCACTCGCGGTATGCGTCTGACGCGTCGACAACTTCCGCAATGCCCATCAACGGCGTAGCTGCCGAAGCCAGGCCGGGCCAGCCTCAGGCCGTAAACAAGCGCAGGACCACCATCACCGCGCCCAGCACAGGAACATGGGCGCTAGGAAAGACAATTGGCGCTGGCAGCATGGGCAAGGTCAAGCTGGCGAAGAACGCCGAGACTGGGGAGCAGGTGTGTATCTCTGGTCGTCACCGTGTTGGCACATGGAGGGGCATGCGCTTAATCGCGCATACTGCAACACAATGACAGCCAAGGCTCTGTGCTAACCACCCGTAGGCCGCCGTCAAGATCGTACCCCGACAGTCCCAGGACCAGCACCAGAGCGCTGCCGACCGTGAACGAGCCGACCACTCCAAAGAAGTCCGCACAGCCAGGGAGGCCGCCATTGTCAGTCTGCTGAACCACCCCTACATATGCGGCATGAAGGATGTGGTGCGCACAAACTTCCACTGGTACATGATGTTCGAGTTCGTCAACGGTGGGCAGATGCTCGACTACATCATCTCTCACGGCCGCTTGAAGGAAAAGCAGGCGCGCAAGTTCGCTCGACAGATCGCCAGTGCCCTCGACTACTGCCACAGGAATAGCATTGTGCATCGAGATCTTAAGATCGAGAACATCCTTATTAGCAAGATGGGTGATATCAAGATTATTGATTTCGGGTTGAGTAACTTGTTCTCACCGAGAAATCAGCTAAAGACGTTCTGTGGAAGTCTGTACTTTGCCGCCCCAGAACTGCTCCAGGCTAAGCAATATACTGGCCCCGAGGTTGATGTCTGGAGTTTCGGCATTGTATTGTACGTCCTCGTCTGCGGCAAGGTGCCGTTCGACGACCAGAGCATGCCGCAGCTTCACGCCAAGATCAAGAAGGGCCATGTTGACTATCCTCCATGGCTATCTGCGGGTATGTTGTCCAAAGACAATATCTCCTCTCAAGCTGACCGTATCCAGAATGCCGCAATCTGATCCACAGAATGCTCCAGACCGACCCAACTCAGCGATTGACTCTCTCGGAAATCATGAGCCATCCCTGGCTTACCAAGGGATTCAACAGTCCTCCGGAAAACTACCTGCCTCATAGAGAACCCGTGCAACTACCCCTGGACAGCGAGATCATCGAGAAGATGCAGGGTTTCGATTTTGGTACCACTGAGTACATTACCACACAATTGACCAATGTCATTCAGTCGGAGGAGTATCAACGTGCGGTTCGAACAGCCGCTCGCAGGGCCACTGCTCAAACACCAGAAGCAGAGAAGAAGAGGGGTATGTTCGACTTCTACAAGAGACGCACTTCCATTGGAAGTCGGGAGCAATTGACAGCTTCATCGTCCGAAGATATCCAACGGGGAATGGATCCAGTGAACGCATACAGTCCTCTGCTTTCTGTCTACTTCCTCGTCAAGGAAAAGAGAGACCGTGAACGACAAGAAGCAAACCCAGGTCCTGCCGCCATGCCTCAGGAGCCAGACGAGAAGCCACTGAAGATGCCAGATCTTCCACCCCCACCGGCAGCGTATACCAACTCAGCTGCCTACGAGATGGCAGGCGAAAAGCCTACAGGTGGAAGGTCGCGACCGAGAGCTAGGACACATGGAGAGGATGACCTCACCGAGGGCCTGAAAAGAGTGGATCTCAACAATCCACCCCCAGTGCTGCCGCCTCACGTTCAGGCTGAACAGCCAAAGAAGGAGGGTGCCGCTGTTGGTCTGTTACGCCGCTTCAGTACCAGAAAGTACCGAAGTCATGACAAAGACCGGACCGTTGAGCCTATGCCTCCACCCACTCCGGCCGTTGCAATTTCCAGTCCCGCCGAGCCTGCCCCGGCACCAGCTTCCGTACCGAGAAAGAGCTTCAGCATTCGAAGGGCGCGTGGCCGTGACGAAGGCTCTGTACCGCATCTTCCAGAGAGCACAAACAGTGCAAATAACCAACCTGAACTGCTCTCCCCTCCTGGCAGCGGCAACAGCGCCGCTCGGAAGCTGAAAGCACTTGGCCGCTCCACAAGCGTTAACTCGGCTGATCTCCGGAGGCGACTCAGTCGCCGTGGACGATCTTCGGAAGACCCTGGAAACCCTCCTCCCACAAGTGGGTCAGATAGATCCGAGCTGAGTGCGCACAAGGTTCGTCCAACCAACGATGCTGCTTCTGATGACCTTACATCGAGCCCGCGACCTATGCAGGCGTCGCGGGCGAAGTCGCTCGGCCATGCGCGACGAGAAAGTATTCAAGCACGGAGGGCAAAGCGAGAGCAAGCGAAGGAAGCAAACGTACCCGAAGAGACAGATGCAGAGCTGGCAGAGGCACAGGCAGAAGCAAGTCGAAGTCCAGACGCTGTTAAGCCTGTGTTTCTCAAAGGTCTTTTCAGCGTCTCTACGACAAGCACCAAGCCACTGCCTGTCATCCAGGATGATCTGATTAGGGTGCTTGATCAACTTGGGGTCGAGTGGAGTGAAGTCAAAGGTGGTTTTAGGTGCCGACATGCACCCAGTATTGATATGAACAAGCCCATGGATTCGCCAGCTTCCCCGCCGAGCGGGGCCCATAAGAGGAAGATCAGCTTCGGGGGGTTCATGGGCGGCGGCGATAGAGACCGTGACGAGTTCCGGGAGCAAAATCGAGCGCCGCAGACGCCGAAATCGCGATCACGGCCATCACCTGCGGACCAGAGCTATACGAATACCGACGAGTCTGATGGTAGCGAAGAACGGGATGAGCGACGACCGCGACGCGCAGTACCTGCGGGCGAAACGTCGACACATGTGCAGAGCGACATGGGCTCAAGCATGAGTCTTGTGTTCGAGATCTTGATCGTCAAGGTTCCGCTGTTAACGCTGCACGGCATCCAATTTAAGAAAGTGGATGGAGGTACATGGCAGTACAAGAACATGGCTCAGACTATCCTGTCAGAGCTGAGGCTTTGATAGTCTAGGTTGAAGTGGGTGTTTGGGAGCGTTTGATCATTTTTTGGCATCAGTGGGACATGTTCACTTCTACGAGCTTTGTTATGTGAATTGTAATTCTTCGTTGGTGTGGAAGTATGGCTGAAGCACAGTTTACGGGTAAGAACGCCCACGAATCTCCTTTGTCATCCTTCTGTAGTAGTTCGGGTGGTTGGTAGCAGACGAGACGGAAGGTCTTAGATCTCAAACTATACATCTTGATTAGTTTCTTGACTTCACTCGCGGGGTTGTGCCCTTTTTGGACCCTTGATGTGCATCATGTGCCTCTGGAAACATGTCGCGGTTGCCTTCCAACTTCACTATGGTGAGGCTGCTCTTGTACGGCTCTCTCACTGTACAGGCGGCTGCCTAAGGTTCACCTGATGCGGAGGCGGCGTCGATCTCGGTCGAAAGCTCGAGCTCCCGCGTGCGCCGCCAAGGCGTTGGATCCAGTGGGGTGTTTCGCGACCTCATCTCTCGAGTGCCGCCAAAACGAACTCACCACGCCTGATTGTCCACTGTCTGACCCTGAATCCACGCGCCCGCTCCAAGCAATCGCCGCTCCCCATATATAGTCGCGCAGACCTTCCCACCTTACCCCCACCCACAATCAATACGAACCTGTCGGTACTCGCGGCCAATGCAACATTTCCTCGCGCATCAGCAGCAGCAGCAGCAGCAGTACGGCGACTGGCCCGCTCAAAGCCAAGCCCATCACCAGCAGCCCCAGCATCATGTAGGCCAGCACGGACAACATCAAGCGCAAGCCGCACAGTTGCACGCCCAACAACAGGCCCAGGCTGTCCAGGCGGCTGCCCAACGACAGTATCACCAACAACTCGCCGCCAATAATGGCACCGCTATCCCCGGCAATAATGCCGTTCCTCGCGGGCCCGCCAACGACGTTCAGGCATCCGATATTGGAATGACGGAGGAGAACAGGCGCGTTTTGGAGTGGATAGCTCAGCTCATGAAGCCTACCACGCGTGAAGCGGCTCTCTTGGAATTGAGTAAGAAGCGAGAACAAGTTCCGGAGCTGGCTCTAATTCTCTGGCACTCTTTTGGTACGAGAATTGTATGATCGAGCATGCGACTGGATACTAACGACCCTAGGTGTCATGGCCTCCCTTCTCCAAGAGATCATCTCCGTCTACCCGCTGCTCAACCCTTCGCAATTGACCGCCGCTGCTTCAAACCGTGTTTGTAACGCTCTTGCGCTTCTTCAATGTGTCGCTTCTCATACCGAAACCCGTGGCTTGTTCTTGAGCGGTAGGTTAGATGCCAACTGCACTGAGGCGACGCGACTAACGTACCTATAGCACACATTCCTCTCTTCCTCTACCCATTCCTCAACACAACGTCCAAGTCGCGACCCTTCGAATACCTCCGTCTTACCTCCTTGGGTGTCATCGGTGCTCTTGTCAAGAACGACTCTTCCGAAGTCATCAACTTCCTCCTGACAACTGAGATCATCCCACTTTGTCTGCGTATCATGGAGACCGGCTCAGAGCTCAGCAAGACAGTGGCCATATTTATTGTCCAGAAGATCTTGCTAGATGACATTGGTCTTGCTTACATATGTCAGACTTATGAGCGCTTCTATGCTGTAGGCACCGTACTTAGCAACATGGTCAACCAGCTTGTGGAGCAGCAAACCGTCCGCCTGCTCAAGCACGTTGTGCGCTGCTTTCTCCGGTAAGATTCTCCTATCTCTGCCTTTTGTACATGTGATTAACTTCAACAGCTTGAGCGACAACGCCCGTGCTCGTGAAGCGCTGCGTCAGTGCCTGCCAGAGCCTCTCCGCGACGCCACCTTCTCCTCAGTTCTACGAGATGATGCGGCCACGAAGCGCTGTCTTGCCCAACTCCTGATCAACCTCTCCGACAATGTCGTCGATGCCGCGAACAACCAGCAGCTTATGCATTAAAAGGACTGGCTGCGCGGCTTCTTACACTCAACATCGACAACCTGGCCGGGTCACTTCAGCGTTCTTGAATACCCCCTCTTCGCCTTCTGTGTATTTCTGGCTTCGGCTTTGCTTCATTTGGCGTGGCAGCACGCGTAGACGACATACCCCTCAGTTCGATCGGATTTGGCTTACGAAAATGGTGTGGTTATGGCGTTAGGGTTTCTCACATGGGATACCCGTAGCAACACTGTATCTTGCAGGTGCTACTTCCTTCACTTGCCTTGTTACTTTCTTCTAACACTCATGGTCATGGCGAGGAGTTCTCGGGCATTGCATGGCGTAGTGCACTCATCAATGCACGGATCCTAGTAGGAAAAGCAAGTGTACTGTATTATATATATCATTTTCTTCATACAGATGGGCAATGCAAGCGTGCTTCTATAAAGACGTATTCCCATATTAGTGATATGGGGGGCACGTGTGACGATGTTAGCAAGCAAGAAAGCAAATCTGCAGGTCTGCAGCGTACGTGAATATCGGGGCCTTGTCCAAGTTGCCGAATGCTCAGCCCTTTGCCCTCAATCGGCGTTCTGCGTAACAGTCACACACGCGCCAAAACGGCTTAGCGCAGCCTTCGCTAGCGGCCTCGCGTCCACAATGCACCAAATCCGCCGCCACCCACTTCTTTTCTTCAACCACCACCGTACAGAGCCACCAAAGGAAACGATATCCTCTGGGAGACACATCAGCCAACATGTCGAAAATCTCTGTCGCCGGCGTTCGCACGAACGTTCAACAGCTCCTTGAGTACTCCAACGAGACCAAGAAGAGGAACTTCCTCGAGACCGTCGAGCTCCAGATCGGTCTCAAGAACTACGACCCCCAGCGTGACAAGCGTTTCTCTGGAACCATCAAGCTCCCCACCCTTCCCCGTCCTCGTAAGTCGATATCAGCATGCCAGTACAAGGGCGCAGGCTAACAGATACCAGGCATGAGCCTTTGCGTTCTTGGTGACCAGCACGACATTGACCGTGCCAAGCACCATGGCGTCGACGCCATGAGCACCGACGACTTGAAGAAGCTCAACAAGAACAAGAAGCTCATCAAGAAGCTCGCCAAGAAGTACGATGCCTTCATCGCCTCCGACGCCCTCATCAAGCAGATTCCCCGTCTCCTCGGACCCGGTCTCTCCAAGGCTGGAAAGTTCCCCACTCCCGTCTCCCACGCTGAGGACCTCGCCAACAAGATGAACGAAGTCAAGTCCACCATCAAGTTCCAGTTGAAGAAGGTTCTCTGCATGGGTGTCGCTATTGGCAACGTTGGCATGACTGAGGACGAGTTGATCGGTAACATCATGTTGGCCATCAACTACCTCGTCTCTCTTCTTAAGAAGGGATGGCAGAACGTGGGCTCCTTGACCATCAAGGCCACCATGAGCCCCCCCAAGCGCCTCTACTAGAGGGTCGGTCGTTACTTCTGCTGGGTTATGTCGTAGCTGGCTGTCGAAAGACGACTCGCTACGAATTACGATCTTACGGAATCTCGATGGAATGAATACCCACCGATGGGTCTAGCTAGCTTGAATGCATGCATGAACCCGTTGACCATCTATACTTTTGCATTTGTCTGTGCATGCTTGACTGTGTATGTTGTCGTGTGAACCTGAACCATGTCTTTGAGCCTCTACCTCCATATTGAACCTGACCCGTGCACCGGAACTGGACCCTCGTCTTGAGCCTATGCTATCCATATGAAGGGTAACGTCCGGTTGTCTATTGAATTCTCTGTCTCGCACGGCCATACTATGATGCTCCCAACCTCTCTTGCGCACGCTGCCCCACTACCGAACTTTTTCCCAGCCCGCCGCAGACTCTTCCAGCTCTGTGCGCACCGCTGACTAATGCCCTCTTAGCGGCTTGGCGTCGTGTACAAAACCACGCAGCTCTCCGTCCCTCCTTTCCTTTCTCCATCATCAGTTGGTAATCTACATACCTAAAAATCGTGGCTCCGCGAAAGCGGCTTGCTGAGAGTTATCCCTCTTTCTTCTGTGGATAGTTCTCCGTTCCCGGCCCCGTAGATCGATACCGCCTGCCTTTCCTACCAATTGCAATTATCCGTGAAAAGATGGATTGGAGTTGTGGGGTGGTGTGGGACATTCCTTTGTGTTACGATACATTGTGTTTTCTGAGTGAAACGCGTTGACAGCTGTTGTCTGAATGCTTGCGTGCTGCACTGTTCTTCGTTGTCGTCGAACTGCTGTTCGGACGTCTTGCGCAGAGACTTTTTGGCGTTTTTGTGGGGCAGCATTCTATAATGTGAACCCTGTGATCGTCCGTCGCCGACATACGAAGCTGCAGTGCTAGCTTGGGAATACGTCGGTCTAGACTGAGCGCTTTCTACTGTATGCGACCATGTTGTTCAAGTTGCAGTCTTGAAGCCCTCAGAAATCTGGGAGCGTAATTCATCGTTCACGCGTGCGCCATTGCTATACACTTTGACATATGCAAGGAGAGGAGATTGTATGCCATACTACAATGCTGTCTATACGTCGAATATATACAGAGGCTAGCGACTTCGACTACTTCATCGTCGTTGCATCTCTCTCCACTTGTCGAACGCCACCTCGGCTGTCTCGTTGGTCATACCGCACCGTTCGCCCAGCATGCTCCACGTCCTCATGCGTATGATCTTCTCAACCGCCCGCTCGTTGCGCATGAGCATGGCTAGACTCTCTGTTCTTGTTTCCTGTGGGAAATAACGTCCCGAGTATGGATCTAATCGCTCATCCACCGTCCGTTCTCGTGCCTTGGAGTCCTCAATCTGCCGTAATACACTATCTGGATTGTCGGGATCCGGTGATGTCGCAACGCCCGCGCAATAGTCTAATACATCCGATCGTACTGCCCAGCTTGGGAACAGCACTTTCTCTTTAAAACCCTCACATTGTTCTGGTTCTAACGACCGACCGTGCCCGGGCGATGGCAGCTGTCGTGTACTGGTGGATGTCGGATCGAAGCCTCGTTGCGCTGGTGTAAGAAGAGCATTAAGGTTCTGTGTGATGGAATCATCAATCGCGCCGCGTGATATACGAAGAAAGTCTGTTTCAGCCGACTTGTGTATTAGTTAGTGAGCTGGCTAGCAAATCAGTTGGGGTGCTGACCTCGCAGTGCGGTCTGGTTGAAGCAGAATTGTGGCGTGAGGCGAGGTTGCGCAGAGGGTTTCGACATCCTGAGCGGCGATGATGGCTGGGAGGGAGTGGTGGAAGTAGACGGCTCCAAGCGTTTCCAGAAGTAGGACGCCAGCTTGAAGATAATCGATAGTAGTAGACAAGATGATTTGTAGGGTTGTGAAACTGTATGTCAAAAGTGATGATGCTCAAGATGCCGCCTAATCCATGTCAGCTTAATGATGTCAGCAGGGGTCGGGGGTCCGTTCAACTTTCGCGTTTCGGCAGGCAGGCGCGACGCGCCTGCCGCCTAGACCACCGTCTCAATCCATCCTCAGAGCATGCCCTTCCGCTTCAATGCTGCCTGTTGCTCTTTCACACCGCGTTACAAATTGACTCTACTGCCTTCAATTCAACCATTACAATCTTCATCCATCTTCCTGCGCTGCAATTACCCTCAACAGCCTAGTGGCGCACACAACGTCCGCACTTTCGTAGCCATGGCTCCCAAGCAGGCTACTCTCGGGTATGTCAAGTCTTCCCAGACTACTTTAGGGTGCGGCGGCAACATTGAACCGTATCCATTGAGTTATTCTGCGATACTGACGGTGTGTCTACAGAAAGTTCTTCAGAAAACCCAACGGCGACGCAACAAAGCAGCAATCGAAACTGTCCTTTTCCACAAGACCGAAGCCTGTAAAGAACGAGGTAGAGACCAAAGAGGAGCCTCGTTCATCGCCAGAGGAAGTGAAAGAGGGGCAGAATGACGACGTCGATTCGGATGCAGAAGTCAGGGCACCAGTTAAGAAAGAGGTAGAGGTGGACGACGATGCGATGGAAGTCGACAGTACAACATCTGACACGGGAAAGAAGAGGCAGATCAAAGAGGAAGAAGAGGAAGAGTCCGAAGAAGAGCCTCCGACGAAACGCCAACGACGGAAAACCACCGAAGGAAAGAACAGCCCGAAGAAAGCTCCTGCGAAGCCAAAGGCCGACAAAGCACCAGAAAAGTCGAAGAAGAAGGCTGCTAAACCGAAAGCTGCGACACCAGAAGATGACGACGAGGAAGTCTCAGCGCCAACCAAGGTTGCAAAGAGCAAGCAGGGGGCCGAATCGTCACCTGTGCCTGTGGAGGATGATGCTGTTTCAAACAAGGAAGAGGAAGATGAGGTGGTGAGCTCAGAGGAGGAACCAGAAGAGGTCAAGACCAAGGCGAGGAAGAAAGTCCAGACTACTCTTTCGTCCAACACCAAAGACCCATATCCTGACTGGAAACCCGGTGAGCCAGTGCCATACGCCGCACTCTGCACAACGTTTTCGAAAATCGAGATGACGACAAAACGTCTCGAGATTCTCGCCCACTGCTCACTTTTCCTCCGTCAAGTGTTACGATTGACTCCATCTGACATGCTACCGACTGTTATGCTAATGGTCAACAAACTCGCAGCCGACTACGCAGGCATCGAGCTGGGTATCGGTGAGTCTCTTATCATGAAGGCTATTTCTGAGAGTACCGGACGAAACTTGCAACAGATCAAGAGTGACCAGAACGAGATCGGTGATCTAGGGCTCGTTGCGGCAAAGAGTCGCTCGAAACAACCCACAATGTTCAAGCCCAAGTCTTTAACCATAGAAGGCGTACGCAAGGGACTAATGGGCATTGCTACTGTTGAGGGACAGGGAGCTCAAGGGCGCAAGGTTGACGGCATCAAGAAGCTCCTGTCAGCAGCCGATGCGCACAACGCTGGAAAGCATATCGATATCGAGAAGGACAAGGGTGGGCCTAGCGAAGCCAAGTTCATCGTCCGAACACTAGAAGGAAAACTTCGATTAGGTCTTGCTGAGAAGACTGTCGTAGTCGCTGTTGCGCAAGCTATGATATTTCATGACATGTCCCAGGAAGGCAAGACGCCATTAACAGCAGACTTGGCAAAGGCCGAGGCCATGCTGAAAACAGTCTATAGTGAGCTTCCCAGCTACGAAGTCATCATCCCCGCAATGCTCGAACATGGTATCATGAACCTGCGAGAGAACTGCCGCCTACAGCCTGGTGTACCGCTTAAGCCTATGTTGGCAAAACCGACAAAGTCAATTACAGAAGTGCTTGATCGCTTCGAAGGTAAAGACTTCACCTGCGAATACAAGTACGATGGTGAGCGGGCGCAGATACATTTTGTTGCGCATGACGCAAAGCAAGAGGGTGAAAAGATGGAGTTGGCAACCATAGCTCCAAGCGCTGGCAAGAGTGACCGAGGTGTGTCGAACATCTTCTCTCGGAATTCTGAGGATCTATCGAAGAAGTACCCTGATATTCTTGGCAAACTACCGACTTGGGTCAAAGAAGGTACAAAGAGCTTCGTTCTTGATTGCGAGACGGTGGCTTGGGACATGGTGGAAAAGAAAGTGTTACCGTTCCAGCAACTCATGACGCGAAAGAGGAAAGATGTCAAGGTCGAAGACGTCAAGGTAAAAGTCTGCGTCTTCGCTTTCGATATCCTCTACCTGAACGGCGAGGTAAGTTTGTCTGGCTTCATTCATTATCGTGTCAGTGCTAACATTCATAGGCCCTTGTGACCAAGTCCTTCCGTGAGCGTCGTGAACATCTCAATGAAGCGTTTGTACCTGTCGAAGGGGAATTCGCGTTCGCCAAGTATGGTAACACCAACGAGTTGGAAGAGATCCAAACCCTCCTTGAAGACTCCGTAAAGTCAGGAAGCGAAGGACTCATGGTAAAGATGTTAGACGGACCAGAGTCCTTCTATGAGCCATCCAAGCGCTCGCAGAACTGGCTCAAGGTCAAGAAAGACTATCTTGCTGGTGTCGGCGACTCTCTGGATCTCGTCGTCCTAGGAGCGTACTATGGCAAGGGCAAGCGTACAAGTTGGTATGGCGCCTTCCTTCTCGCCTGCTACAACCCTTCGACCGAGAAGTATGAGACAGTATGTAACATTGGTACCGGCTTCTCGGAGGCCATTCTCGAGACCTTGCACAAGACACTATCCGAAATCGTTATCGACCGCCCCAAACCCTTCTACACACACTCCACCGGCAATAAAGACCAGCCCGACGTCTGGTTCGAGCCGCGCTATGTCTGGGAAGTAAAGACGGCCGATCTGACCTTGTCACCGCGGTACAGAGCTGCTGCAGATGAGGTCTCTGGTGGTGGCAAGGGTGTCAGTTTGAGGTTCCCCAGGTTCATCAAGGAGAGAGATGACAAGAAGCCCGACCAGGCCAGCTCTAGTCGCATGATTGCTGAGATGTATCAAAGACAGGAGAGTGTCAGTAAGAACAAGGGGCCAAGTGCTGATGATGACTTTGAGTATTAAGGTAGTCGACGATTCAGGTCAAGCGCGACGACGGATAACATTGTATGAGGTCATGTCATATCTCGCGACGAAAACCATTTTAGTATAATAATGCCCAGGTTTCCAGATCGTTTACTTCCGTCCTCTACTGAATTGTGCTTTTGCTCTTGGAGGAGAATGTGTGATGGCCATGTAGCAACTGAAAATTAGGCAGTGTGCAGGAGCGTGGGCAGTAGCATATAGAAGTAACGCCGCCAGAGGGTAGAAAGGCTTGTGTACTGTTAGACGTATATCCAAAGGCACTCGCTATGCATATTTCTGAATAGGCTAATAAAATATAGGATAATTTACATCTCTGTCTCAGGTATCTGATACAACTTCTGGAAGACAAGCTTCTTTGCAGGTATCCAATGCGACACGAATCTTATCATGCTATGATGCCATAGAATCGAAAGCGCAACAGAAATTGCGTGTACGGACGAATCGAGTTGATTAGTGTTTGGTACTGACTCGTCCGCTCGCACTGAGGCCTCCCAAGAGACCCCAAGGCTCGAACGACGACACCCTGGACCACCACAACCACAACAGCTGCACAACGAATTCCATTGCGGATCACGGCATCGCCATCTCCCGATATCATCCAGGCTGAAAAATACTAGTGGCTGCTCAACTGTCTATCCACACACACGCCACAGTCCCCACAACTATAAGCAAAACTCCACCAGGGTCTGCGAGGATGAGCGGCACAAACTTCCGCACTCCAACAGGGTCTCGTTCCGAAGCAACCCCCGCTTTTGATTGGCGCCGCGCACTGTACCAACATAGTCGTGACAGCCCGCGTAGTGGTGTCTGCAATCTCCGTTTTGTATGAGTCTCTTGAGAGGGATCGACACCTGGGCTGCACCGCGGAGCTTAGAGCCGTGAGGAGATACAGTTAGGATGGTACTCCTGTTTACTTTGACGCAATTGAAGTCCCTGTTTAAGACGGCCGGATTCTAAGGTAATATTGGTTCGGGGCAGGAATCTCTTGCAGGCAGGTATGTACGCAGTTGATGTTGGAGGGGGTGTCGTTCGTGCATGAAGGAGTTATTGTGTTGGTAGTATTAGCCTATGTTCCTGGTGTCTCGCTTTTCCTCGTTGGAATGAAATTTGTATTCATCTATTGTACACACGTTGTTGTCGTTTCTCGTGTCACTGCTTGGGCAGCCATCATGTACTATTTTCGCGGGATGTTGCCCTGAATGTCGCAGATCAATGAAGTCTATACTAATCCAGGTGTTCCCTGATAGGATTCGTAGAGAGACTAAGAGAGGGCTAGACCATCATCGCTGAGGAAACAGTACGATTTTCTGGGTATCATGCCGACTAGGCAGTGGAACGCCGAAGCCAGAACGTATAACCGGCGCTTAGCAGCCAGCCCCCGCGCCGACACCCTCTACAGTACAACAAGTCGCAGACACTACATGCAATCGGCGATACACAAGACTCCCAACACTTAGCACTGCCGGAACCCGTTGTGACACACCACTCACCAGTAAAAGCGGATATGGTAGCGTCGGGTATAATGGCCGACTGCGTTTTGCTTGGACCGCATTCTTACATGGTAAACCGAGACGAAACAGCCTCAATCGCAAACAATGGCATCCGAGTACAAAACCCCCATAGTACCTTTAGGGCTTAGTTCATCGGCAGTCATACATATGCAGGGTCCAGAGCCCTGTGGCAATATCATGCTACAAGTAACGCGATTGGTAGGCTCCGTTAGCGAACTTTTACATATCCATGAGAATACGACTCGCTGCGAAATTAGGAAACTCGAAACGAGGGACACGTCTGATCTAGAAGGCGGAGGTTTGGGTAATCTTGATGTTATGAAAGAGCCAAGTTTTACAGATAAACTTAGTCGTATTTTTTAGTTGTACAAGTGGAGATGAGTGCAGTTTCTTTCTTGTTTCTCCTTCTGTGGTTGCCTGCAGTTCTATGCACTTCTCGCTCGTCCAGACTCTTTCTTTCTTGGTTGCCCAACCCTCTTGCCAAGTTTACATGCCACCCCCCTTTTTCTCCATGGCCGCATAGAGATTCGTTTCAAGCCTCTGTTTGAACCAAAGCGTCTGGGAATGGTAGTCTGCTTCCGAGTCGCGTTCAAAAGAACAAGCGAACTTAGCCCATGTACTGTCTCGTGCGGAATGTAACAGCAACAGTTGAATCAAGCTAGTCCAAGCGACAGTGCTACGACACGCCCTCTCCGCCCTCTTCTCCCCGCAGCTTCACCGAGGAACGAGGCTCCACCCACACAATCGAAGCGAGGTCGCGTGCCTCTAGCTTGTGCAGCGTGCAGAGTTCGTAAAAGCAAGGTACCATGACCTAGTACATGTATAAAACTTTGGTTTTGAATATCAGCGAGAGTAGCCCTTCTGATCGTTCCAAACCATCTAGTGTAACGGCGAACGACCCAGCTGCAGTGAATGCGTGGCCCGTGACAGCCCCTGCCAGTACGCGGAAACGGAGAATACACAGACCAAACGGAGACATAGGTATCTGGAAGAACTGTTCCACTTGCTCAGAGATTTGCCGGAGGAGGAGGCGGGAGAACTTTTAGCAAGAATCAGAGCTGGTATGGATCCAAAAGATATTGTCGATACTGTTAGGCATGGCAACATGCTTGTACAGTTTGCCTCAACGATGGAAAGTAGTAGGGACAGTGCGAGCACCGAGGCCGATGGTGGTGTTGGTAGCAGTGGTGGTGGTGGTCGCAGTGGTAGTATCGACAAGTCAGGCGATAGTCAAGAGCAGAGAAAAGATTCAGATTTGCTGCCCATACAGAGTAGCTGAGGATGCGGATTCAACACCACCTGGCGTGCGCCAGATCTAAAATCGCAGAGTCTACACCCGGCTGATCAATCGTTCAATCAGAGAGGGCAGCCATATCTGGGACCTGCACAAACATTTTTCCCCCAAACTTGTCTTATGCTTGGACCCGGTGTATCACTTTCAAATTGTCCAAGACCGCCCTTTAGACGTTCTTACACGTACTTGAATTACTCCTGTACAGATCTTCAACTCCCGATGAGGCAGTCGTTATCTAGGCGTTGGAACAGATGTTCCTGAAGTTGTGTCCAAACGTATGCTTCTACGTATCTTTGGGGCGAGGTGCCGCTGCCTATCCCAAATGTGTTCTTCTCAATCAAATTCCTGTTCCAGTCATCGCTTGTCCACTCCCAGACGTCATCTTCAAACAACACTTTCAATTCAAGCTCTTCACTGTAGTACTGTATCTTGACTGCGAAGCCCTTTGCCCTTAGGCCGTGATAAGCTCGGGCGACAAGTTTCAATATGGCGGAATGATCCCTCCATATGAAGTCGTCTTCTTGCCTGATTGCCAAGGTGATGACTCTGGCTCTGGTGTTCAGATGTCGACCATGCTCATTGTGAGTGATAACACGTTCGGTGTGTGGAATGTTTAGCAGAGCCGTGACGCCGTCACCGAGGTCTTGGAGATAGTCGCCTCGTGTGTACGTCGTTGCACCTGTCCCAAGTGATCCTCGATCATGTGTCTTGCTCTTCTGGATCTCGGCAAATTCGTCGTCGGTCAATGCATCGCACTGGAAGTTTACCCGCAAGTCCAAGTTGCGTACCAAATCTTCTACTGTTATTCCAACTCCAAAAACGTCCTTCTCCACGAAGTCCTCCATGGATGCGTCGAGCAATCCGCATTCGGCGACAGGGTTCCTCTCCCCGATTGGCCGGAGATCTTTACCCACAGAATCTTTGAGTTGTTTGAGGGCCTCTTTAGCGAAGACAGGTCCTACAAAGCATTTGTCGATGAAGTGCGGGGGTCGGAGTGTCATCAACGGTGTCTTTAGCCATCGTGATTTGTTAGGATCATCGTCTCTGGAGAACCAAGGCTCGTCGAAGGAGTCCCACCAGTAGAGCAGACTGCGGCTCGGATCGTGCTTGTCGTTGAGTTCCCATAAATGCATGTATATGTCGTCACGTAGTTCCTGGGGTAGTTGTAAAACTTGTGTGACAATCTCCATGTTTGCATCGTGTGTGTAGCTATGAACCGCGTCAAGCAGGTTGTCCCCACCTGATTTGACACTCGCAAGATGTGTTTCACGGTAGAGAATGTCTCTATACTTGTGATCAGTTTGGGAAGACTACAGATTGTTGAGATACTTACTGCCGGAGATCATTTTTGGTACGTGTCTGCTCTTGCTTGAATTGCTGAAGCATGTTTGGGAGCTTCGAATGTTACGATAGATTACAGTTTTCATAAAGTTGACAACAGAGCTGTGTAGGTAGTGACGAGAGAAGGGCGGTCGTCGGGAAGCGAGGTTTTGTCTGCCACGCGAGGTGACTCACTATACAGAAGCACACGCATGCAAGACAGGCAGTAGATGCAGTGAGAACAATGCGCTCGAAGCACCCCAGTTTCTATGCTGACTGGTGAAGGAAAGCAAAAATAATGTTCTCGGTACTTATGAAAAGACTGAAATCAAGTACGAGAGCAAAAAAGATATGTCGCAAATTTGGCGGTACTGGGAACTGTAGACATGTTAGGAGATGTCTCAGGACCACCATTTGTGAGGGATCAAACGTACTCGAACCCAGGCTGGCGCGGATCTGGATCGGGACACTAGGTGTCCGCCAGCCACAACGCGACGTCATACCACTAGACCATACCACGATAGGGTTGTTAGCTGGTGTGTATTGACGAGGCAGGTGAAGTGAGCTTACCCGAAGTGATTCGTTTTGATGAAGAGATTCCAAATTTTTTGTAATATACGGGCAACAAGATCCGGCCAGATCTCACTAGCGCGTCTTGCGAGGGGCAATCGCGGGGCATCATCCACATGGTAGCAGTCTCAACACCAAACACGCTCTATACACAACCCTCCACACAACCGCGACAATGTTCAAGAAAGAGTGGGTGTCTTACGCGTCATGTTAGACGGATGTAGTTGACAAGAAGACAGCATTACCTCAGGCGCAAAGTCCAAGGTGAAATCCAGCGCCCAGCGCGCCATCCGCTCAAAAGTCCTCGAAGAATATCCAAAGCTAGAACCATATATTGAAGACATACTGCCGAAGAAGGAGCAATTGGACTTGGTCAAGCTGTAAGTTCCCAATCGAACCTGTAACGATGACGTTTGAAGTTCACGAAGCCAAGTACTAACACTTCATTTATAGCCCCGACCGCGTATCCCTCTACACCCTCAACTCCACTCCCCTCTTCTTCCAACACATGGACGACGCGCTCCTACCCCACCTCACACTCGTACACAAATACCCCTTCGCCTTCAACCGCCTACGTATAGACCGCGGCGCAATCCGCTTCGTGCTCTCTGGCGCTACACTCATGGCCCCTGGTCTCACATCACCGGGCGGGCGCCTACCAGGTCCCGAGCTGAGCGACCAGGACAAGGAAATATATGGCGCCGAAGACCTGAAGGAGGGCCAGGTTGTGGTTATCGAGGCCGAGGGCAAGGAGACGGCGTGTATGGTCGGTGTGCTGAAGATGAGTACGGACGAGATGAAGAAGGTTAAGAAGGGGCAGGCGTGTGAGGCGGGTCATTATCTAGGAGATGGGCTTTGGGGGTTGAAGCTGGACTGAGCGGGTGAACAAGCAAGGCTTTTTGAAGTCACGAGTTTGAAGTCAGGTATAAAGGGCCAGAGTTGCGGACGGCGGCAGAGAGTCGTACGAGTAAATGGGTGATTAGGATGAAAAGGTTCTGGTCCGGAAGTCACTCAAGGCTCTGATGGCAGATATGCCACGACAAAATATCCCGCGACGTGCATGATAGTCATTGATTCCAAGACGGGATCTTCATGAACACAAAACGGGTTTGTACATGGTATCATAATTTTAATCGTGAAGACTGCTCTTTGGCAGACCACTACTTACTCTAGTGATCTGATGGTTGCAGTCGATTCATATCATCTTATTGACCAGCTCCACGGCCAGCTCCAGCGCCTCCGCCTCCCATGAAGTTACGGGCCCTGTGTTTCGTTAGCGACTTGAGGTTTCTACATGGCTTTTTCACTTACATCTCGGCCAGGTTGGGGTCGTTCATGAGATCCTGCATGTTGGGCATACCGCCACCGCCGCCGCCTCCTCCTCCGCCTCGACCTCCTCCACCAAACTGTTGAGCCATCTCCGCTATCCTGGGGTTGTTCATGAGGTTGCTCATCATATCTGGGTTGCTCATGAGGTTCTGTGCCATTTGCCTCATCATGGGGTTCTGCATCAGACCAGCGAGATCAGGCATTCCTCCGCCACCACCACCGCCGCCGCCTCCACCGAGCATGCCAGCGAGTGCTGAGAGATCAGGCATACCACCACCCATACCGCCAGGGGCGCCTCGAGAAGCTTCAGGCGCGCCGACATCTCCGCCCTCCTCTTCGACCTTCTTCTTGGCTGTTTCGTAACCCTTGCGCATGACTTCTGAGCCGCCACCCTCTGCGTCCATGCCAGACTTGTATGCCTCCATGGCGCCCTTTGCATCGCCAAGAACGTACTTTGCAAGACCTAGACGCGACCAGGCCTTGGAATAGTTGGGGTCAGCAGCAACTGCCATCTCAGCATCCTCCTTTGCTAGCTCGTGCTTGCCCTGACCTGAGTATGCGGCGGCGCGGTTCGATAGGTAGATGGGGTTGAGCGGAACGACCTCGAGGGCAGCAGTGTAGTGCTTGACGGCAGCGTCATAGTCCTTCTTCTTCATCGCCTCGTTGCCCAGACCCTTGAGCCTCTCTGCTTCATCCTTGTTGGGCCCGCCTGGTCCTGAACCGGCGGCAGGTGTCTGCGGCGTTGCTGGTCGGGCCTCTTTGGCCGACGATGCTCCCTCGGTTGTGGCAGTCGTCTTTCCCTTGAGCTTCTCATAGACGTTGTAGATTGCGAGCAGGTTCTGGTCGCCAATGGCGTCCTTCTTTGCGGCCTCGTCGGCGGGATCTACCTTGAAGGCTTCGGCGATGCAGTTGGCGGCGACTTCGAGCTGCTCAGCGTCGTCGGGTGCTACTGACCCGTCGGTCTGCGAGGTCTGGAGGAAGTCAAGGATCGCGAGCGCGAGGCGCTTCTTCGATTGGAAAGCCTATGGTTGTGTGAGCGACTGTTTACTTAGATAAGTGTAGGGCAACTTACCATGACGGCGTGATGTGGATTGTCGAACGGTGTAGCAGGCTCGTTGTGAGGCGTGCTGTAGTGAGTTTCCTGGTAATAAGCTTATGAACAGGTGTTCTGGTAGCTATGGGATTATGGTTGGTTGCGAGTTCTGAGATGCATGCAGCGATACTCGAAGCTTCCAAGGTTCCTTCGGGCAATTGGCGGGGCAGTCAGCCGCCTGGTCAGTGCCAAGCTGCTACCACCCACTTTTGGTATGCACTGTTGCAACCCGCCCAAGGAAGGAAGAAAGATTGCATGTTGATATCTGACTTGTTGAGGTCTTATACAAGCCGCCGAATGTTGTCATGTACACGTCTACTCTTACACCCCACTACTATATAACACATGCTAGAAGGTGAGATGGGTATCTACAGGTCTTTAATCGTCGCTCAATCCTTCCCAAGCACCCTTGGGCTTCTCCTTCGGCCACACCGAGCTGAACCATGATCCTTCTGATGAGAGAGACACGCTGTTTGCGCGCGCTTCAACCTCGGCATCTAGTGCAAACTTTCGCATGCGCTCAGCAATTCTCGGGTCCAGCACCATTTCGTCTAGCCATACCCTCTCCTTGGTCTCACCTTCTTCACGCTTTCGTGCAGTCTTGGACCAATCTGGCTCTTCATGAGAGAGCAATCGTTGTTGCTCCCATTGTGCGTTACTGTGTCCATCTTCCTCGTTTGTGACAGCCGCTTCGCCTGCAGTCTCAAATGGTCGGTATGCACCAAGGACAGCAGCGGCAGTTTCCCTGCCAATGACATCCGCCGCTTGTCGCCTGTTCAAGAAACGGTACATACGGATGGGAAAGTTAAAGAATCCAAGGAGGTGGGGGAGAGGTACTACGGCGGCGGGGCCGAGTGCTTGTGGGCAGTTTTGGGAGAGCACGGCGTTTTGGTATTCGGCTGTTGAGATGTATGGTGGCGGTTGCTTCTTCTTCTTGGGTTTCGTCTCCTCCTCTTTAGGCTTCTCAGCATCTTCTGGCTTGGGAGCTTCGGTAGCGGTGGGTGACGCATCATCGGCCGTAGCAGATGTGGTGCCGTCCGTGGACGTTTCGGTGGACACAGGTGTGGGCTCGACCGCAGCGACCGGTACCTCGACAGACGGTTCTGCTGATGGTGGAGCATCTAGAGGTCCTAGCCAACCCTCATGCAGTCCTCGAACATATTCTTTCCATGTGTGTCTTCCAATGACGATGTCTCCTCCCGGTCCATCCCACCCATTGACGCCTGCTCGTTGCCTTAGACCTTCCAACTCTTCCTCAAGTCCTGGTTCCAGCGGCTCAGCGGTCGCTTCGCCCCTCTTCTTTCTCAGCTTCCGTATTCGCTCTGCTAACCCAGCTCTTACATCGCCCTCCCTTCGGCCCTCTACCGCGTCCCAGTCCAGTGCCGCTGCAACGAGAATGGGCTTAACATATTCATGGAAGTGATCGCGTGCGGGTACTATTCCATCTGCTGGCGGTGCAGACAGGAATATCGTAAGTTTCCGAGGCAGCTGGTGTACGTCCAACGGCTCGTGTGCAATGTGCTCGACAACTGTTGCCCATTTCTGTTGTATGCGCTTTTTCTGGCGACGGTCGTACATGACTGCCGCAGTCCATGATCCGGTAATCGAGAGAAATATCATCCAGTTGCGCGAGGGGAGCCTCAAGCGGAGGTTTGGCAGGCCTGCATTTGTTAGTCGTCGTACTCCGCACGAGATAGAAGAAATGCGCACCCATCATCCTCCAGACGGGATTCGGAGGCTTCTCAGGTTTCTTGGGTCCGGCAGAAGCCTCGCCAGTAGGCGATGCTTTTGCATCCGGTTCGGCCATGCTGTAGTTGACTGCGATGGTGATAGCAATAATGTTGGTTGCGCGCCCAAAAATTTCCTGACGCCTGTCGGCGAGCGCGGGATTGAGTCGGAACAAGCTAGCCACCAGCCCCAACGACTTGACTGAGCGAGTCACGTTCCCCCACCACAGCCCCTCACCCCCAGTGGATTCTTGGGATGTCGAATCACGTTTTACATGTCCATTTCTTGCACGATAGCTAGCGTTTAGTACAACCAAATAGGACAAATTGCCATCAAATCACTCTCGGGTAATGCGATAACACTTCACTCTTTGCAGGACTCCTCCATCAAAATAAAGTAGTAGGAAGGTATCTTATTTTATGTTTTTTGTATCGTGTCTATCGCGTATATCGTGTACTAGCAGCAATGTAAGTGTCGAGTTCCTACTTCTGCCTTCCAAGTCTAATACTTCGTGCACCAGTACAAGGCATGAAGACCGTGTTCGCATGAGGATATTTGAGGCTCATGATTGAATACAGTCCATCGCAACTGACTCCTCTTGAAAATCATAAGCTCCTCGCTTAGTATTAGTCGAACAGCATATCGTCATCATTGAACTCCTCCACAACGGGACCTTGTCGTGCTTTGCGCCTAGCAGTCCTGCTTGAGCTTGCTCTAGCATCTTTATCCTCTTCCCTCGATCGTTTTATGCCCCTTAGCTTTCCACCTGTACTACTCGCGTCCTTGCTGTCGCTCTCGCTCGTCTCGTCGTCAGTTATGTCGTCACCTAGGATAACGTCCTGTTCAAGCTGCTTAGGTTTATCTTCGCGGACAACGTGGGGAGGCCTTTCTCCTCCTAGCGTGAGTACTTTCCTAGACAGACACTCTTTCTTTCTGTTAATCTCAACATTCTTAGTAACCTTCTTCTCAGTGTATAATCCTGTCAAGATTCCTGCAGCGGTTATAAGAGCGTTGTTCAATATTATGCGCTTATCTTCGCCCATCTTACTTATATTGGCGAAGGCGAGGAAGGTCCTCAAGTAGGGGTAGTGTCGATAGGTCCCCTCAGCGCAGAAGGCTGTGATGAGTGTGTACACGGAGTTAACAGTAGGGTGAATAGAGGGGTAGAAGAAGTCTATCGTGTCACTACCAGGAATGACTACGGACTAAAAGAATCAATTAATTAGCTATAGCAAGTCTCCTGGGTTAGCTAGAAGGTGCTTGCTAGCTACGAAAATAAGGCCATCGATGTCCTCCTTTTTCAATTTGCCTGAGGAGCTGAAAGGCAGAATACGCTTACTTCTGGAATTCTCGAAGAACGAAGCCAGATATTACTGACTAGGCTTGACCACCAAATCAACGGTAGGCAAGTGCCTAGGCAGATTTCTATAGAGGACTTCCTTGATCTTGGACCTAGTGATCTCTTCCTAGTGTTTGAAGAATAAGTCGGATTCGAGCGTCTCGCCTAAAGTCATTATTAGACTCGCGATAGGCAGCGTCTCTAGCTTTATGTTTCCCGTCAGCGTAGCCTTACGAGTACCCTAGGAGACCCCATCGTGGTTGTGAATGTCAATGCCCCCAGATAAGCTACATATTAGGTTAGTAACATATCTTAAATCGTTGAGAAAGAAACTCACTAGTGCAGAATAAAATGTTTGCCTTTCTTGCCCACATTCTTCACAACTTGAGACGGTAGAATGATGGGCGAGAGCGACCACTTTCGACCATCATCTTCCTCCCATGAAAAACTGTGCCGTACGGAGGTCTTGTTATCGCCAACCGAGAAATCATCTACTCCATGGATCACAACTTCAAACCCATCATCAAAGAACTCTAGTGTCTGTCCTTCTCCGCGGATGTGCTTGCCTCCACGGCCAGATACGGACTTACCTGCCAGAATACCATTGGGAGGCTTCTTGATAGCATGCCCTGTGGCGTGAGCCAGACAACCTTGTCGAAATGCCTTGTACGCCAAGACATAGTCTTGTTTCGCCTGGTGAAAGGCTTGACCAAATACAGTAGTGACTTCAAGATCGGCTTTCATAATCTTGATGATCTTCCTGCACGTCTGCTTCCTCGTCCGGGGGGCATGATCTTGGTCTAGCTGTATCGCTAAACTAGCTGCCTTCCAGGCGATGGCGGAAGTCAACACAAACACTCTTGAGACCTTTTCTTTGGTGACGCCTGAGTAACCAAGAAAGCCTGGGTGCACGCTCGGTATGATTACGCATTCTTGTCCAACAGCAATGTCATTACCACCACTAAAGCTGCGTAGCTCGGGATGGCCAACTTGATCGGCGAAAGACTTGTCTGATTTGAACTTGTTGGTCTTCTCGCTAAAATTCTTCTTTGTGAAACCGGCAAAGTTCTGTCGAGCGGCATAGGTAGGCTAATGAGGTGTTAGTAGGATTAGAAGCCAAAAAAGGGATTCACATACCAAACTGCCATACGTCAAGACAACGATAGGCTTGACGATACCCATATACCTACGCAGATACTTGCTACCAGCCGAATAATCGTTGTCATGCTTGACGAACCATGGAAACACATCCGTAAATGGGAGGCAGGACTTCCTCGCCATGCGTCGCGTAAGCCTCGCTTTGAATGAGGCTTGCACAACACCCTGTTCCCAGTGGCCAAAGTGATTGTACACAGTCGAAACAGCATCTGCAGATCGGCCACCAGCATACCAGAATGTTTCATCATCGTCTTCGTGGGTGTCGCCAAGGTCAGTGCCGACAGAGACCATAACAGCGGAGCCATCGGAAAGTACCACTGTGCTACCCTGAGTTACGAGCATATCTCTAGTAGCATTGGTGAATTTATGTTTCGTATTGCCTGAGCCAGTTGTTGTGGTTGGGTGAGTTGTCACGTATTTCATGATACTAGTCGCATATTTCTTGAGTTGTTCCAGAACTGCTGTTGGACAAAACGGTAAATTCTCAACTAGAGCCTAAATTTTGATATACGAAGTTAGTCCGTGTCTCAAATTCAGTTCGCATATGGGCGTTACTGACCAGGAAGTTGGTCTTTAGTGAATCGAAGGCGTCTTGATCTGCCTTTGTAAGGATCATCATGTTCTTGCCACCGAACTCGCTGTTAAGGACGCTGTCTCCGAACAAGGCGATCACAATTTGCTCTCGTAGGTCCACTACATCATCGCTCAACCCTACCGCCGAGTAGGCCTTCTCGATGGTGTGGACTTGAGAAGTCTTCAAGGCATCCAAAGCGATCATGCCCACTGTCTTGATGAACTGCGCAAACCATGTCTTGAGTGACTTATCGTAGATGTCGGAGAGGTGCCTCTCCCAGGGTCATTTATGTCCTGAGACTTGGCCGCAGTACCGCAACTCTACTTGTTCCGAGGCGTTGAGCAACTCGAGCCTCTCAAGGATGGCGAAGATGTTCGGGTTACTATCCCAGCCATCATGAAGCATAGCCTGGAACACTGCCCTGGCATCTTCAACCTTGAATGTGAAAGTGCGGATGTAGAAGGTGTTGGCGGTCAGGGGTGGGTACGGGCTATCGGCGTTGTTGACCTTGAGGACCAGCATAAACTCGAGCCACAACGTCGGGACAACGAAAGGGTCCTCGAACAGTAGACGCCACTTTTCTTCATCAATGAGACTATACAGAGTAGCTGACCTTCAGATCTAAGAGGACTTTTCGTTGTTATCATACGAGGTGGGCATGCACCAGTGGAGGTCAGCCTCTTTAAGATTGTCCGTTAGGATACCATGAACCTGGAGCCGCTCTACGAGCAACCGGAAGACTGCAGTTCGAAACTGCGGAAGTGTCGTAAAGGCCTTCTCAGGAAGCTTCCCGCTGGTCTTGGCGCCGACACGAACGATCTCGTCTTCGGGGTAGGTGATGGTTCGACGAGCTCGTTGCAGCAACCTTGTTGCTGCCCCGGCAGTTGGATCTGAAGCAAACCGACCTGGGGGGTTGGACTGATCAGGTGCGTTCGATGGGTCAGAGATTTTGAACATGTCAGGGGCGTCGGACTGGCTGGAGCCTTTATACTTGGGAGCGGCACTGGATCGGCCGGATCCTTTCGACTTGGAGCGGGCCATATCTGCGGTGGGCACGGTTGTGGCGCAGGCGATCGTGGTGTAGTGGATGGGATGGTCCGAATGGTATATTTCTACGCGATCGTGCGCTTGTGTTTGGACCCCGCCAAGGCTCCTTTTCGCTTCTTCGTCTGGTGTTAGTTGAGGTGAAGTGAAAGAGAATGTTTGGGATCTTCCAGCTACTCTTCTAGACACGACCACCTCTGACAGCCCTCTCAACATCCACCCTACTGACTGCTTCTAAAGGACGGAATCAATTGGACGGATCTGCCTAAGACATTCCAAGATGCAATTGTGTTGACACGCAAGCTTACCTAGGTAGTACCTATCATATATGGATCGACTCGTTGTGTAAGATATCAAGGGGGCGCATCACCCTACGAGCACCATTACTTCCACTCGATGGCATATGGAAGAAATGTGAGGGAATAAAAGATCCGCCACATTGCATATTTGGGAAGGTTCTCCCCGAATTATCTACTACTAAAAGCCTCCACCTTAGTTGTGGTCCTGGCTGGGACCAGAGACATCAGTGGACTGAAGATGATATTTGTTCTTGTCTGCTCGATGACACTGTCAAGCTTTCATCTTCACTTCTGGAGGACGGCTCCGACATACCTCTTTTCTTCTTGGTCATCCGTACAGCGTACCCATGGCAGAATTACCAATCTGTGAAAGGCAGACTGGAGCCCCAAGGTTTACTACTTAAGCCATCTGAGGCACCTGAACGGGCCCATCGAGAATCGGCAGAAGCATCAGAGCATAACCTCGTGTTCGTGAGGATCGGGATGGGGGTAATGGAACTATGTAAGAAGGATGCAGAGAAAGCACTAGAGCGCTTCGGGGATACTATCCTTACCGTTTTTTGACATCTCTGTAGTTCCTTCCTGCTTTCAACTACTATATGTCATGTTATATAACCTTTGATTCAGCGTGAATATTTTTCAGCCTTGGCTATCATGCTATACAC